GTTTGAATAGGAAAATTGGCCATAACAAGAGAACAAAGTAAATCCTTGAAACAGAAGAAAGTTGAAAAATTGTATTCAAAAAACAAACATTAATAAAGTGAAATTTTTTTGCCTTCTCACTAGTTATTAAAAAACTTTGTTTAAAATTAAAATATACCAATAAATATTTCTTTTTCTATCACAATAAAGAGTTTATTGAAATTTCAATCTCTGTAAAAATTGCATCAAAAATATTGCACATGTGCATATGACCTTTGGATTCATTTCGTAGACATTTTAAAGGAATTACTACTGCTCACCAGTGGGTGATTATATCAGACAAACACCAGATTGTGTTTGACTGGATACTTTAAACCAGAGTCTCTCAATGTATCTTTCTTTATCTTTGTCCTTATCAATAGAACAAACATATGTGTGTTACAGATTAAGTGAGAGAAGTGAAAAGAAGCTAATCCTCAGTTTGACTAGTTGGCGTGCAGATTATTCACCTCGAAGAATTCCAACAATTTACATATTAATTAATTAATATCATGCTTGACCTTATTGTTCAACCTTACATTTATATACTACATAAAAATAAACTTTTAAAAATTGCAATTGACATTAAAAACATTATAACATCATTCTATTAACCATCCTGAATAATTGATGGATGAATCTCAGTTTACTTAATAGCATACACGAAAATAATTTTGGAGCAAAAATTAGTCTCAACTCTAAAGTGATATCTTGAGGTATCAAATGCATTTAATGCATTAATAAATATTTAATTGAACATGTAGCGGAATATTTATCAATCATAAAAAGCTTTTACTTTATTAAAACAAAATCCATTCTATCACACTGCAAATCTCAAGCTTGTGAGTGTTGATTTCAATGCACTTGAAACTGTTTAAAAAGTAATTACAATGTTAATTGAATGAGTAATTTCATGTTTAACACGTTTAACCGTCTAAAAATAACACACTTGGACTTGCAGTGTCAGTGGGTGTTATGACATTACATTAATTTATTTCAAATTAAAGTGTGTAATAATAAAGACGTGTTTAATGTTAATTATTAACAAACTATACAAGTCTTGTAGTCGTTTTATACACTTTAAAGTGTGTTGAAATTTATAGTTTGTTTATGACATTTAACATTAATCACGTCTTTATTATTACACACTTTGATTTGCAGCGTTATGTAGTGCAAATTAGAGTAATTTAGAATTCTATTATTTTATAAGTAAGTTCATCTTGAATAAGTAAAAAAATAAACCTAAATAAAACTTGAGTATTAAGTATAAAACTCATGAAAAGCCACTCCCCGGTTAGTCAGTGATAGACCCTGGACGTAATTAACTTGACAATGAGCCGGATATGTGTTCACGTGTTTTGGATTTTCATTTATAATTGTAACATAACACCAAAAAATTTTTCTCATTAAACCCAACTCAATAAAAGTCACAAAAAATCTTTATTTTCCTCTTTCTTTCGTTTTGGAGTTGAAATCGATCAGACAAAAACATCATATGTTAAATGTAGATATAACTATTGTATAAAGGAAAAGAGAATAATTATGTATTGTAACAAGAATAATGTTATCTTCTCTGAATGATTTAATGCCGATCTTTGCAAATTCGTTGTACCGAATCATTCTCAGACTTCCTTTATATAAAGAGCTCGGATGAGCTTCGAGGTCTTGGCGTCTATTGTTGCGTGACGATTCGGATGTTCGACGATCTGCTGTAAAGCTATTTTAAGAACATCATCGACACTCAGTAGACAAGGAATGTGTTTTTGTCTTGACTAAGTTGATTTCTCAACCTCATTTCTGTACTTTAATTTTTCATTCGTGTGTTTATATTTAAAATAAAAGATTGTCGAAGAATAGTCAAATAAGTCAAATCATTCACTACTGGAGTTCATGATACATCAACTATTCTGCAGTTTTCAATACTGATAAAGACGGAAATGAGCTGATTACATTTCAGATAAAACCTCAGCTTCATATTTTATTTTTTATGTCTGGACATGTAAGAATAATAATCTCTTACTCGTAAAACTATTTTCTCACATTATCAAATGAAATATTAGATTTATTTATAAGTTTTTTTTTGTTATTTAAATAAAGTGTTGAGATGAATAAGCTTTTGTATGATTTTCGAATAATTATGGACAATAAATCGAGTGAATAAAAATGTCTCATCACGATAGAGAAATGTAAGATAATGGCACCAGATATTTACAAAAGTTTTAAAAAATAAACAGACGTGCAAATTACGAGCATTATATAACTGTTTAAGAGAAGAGTTATTGACCATAAATAACTTGGTAGATCTTGAAGATGATACCAAGTATCTGAGCTTCTGAAAATCTAGTTCATCAAATTTCATAGTTTCTGTAAGCTAACGTGAATCAACAGTCTAATGAATTCAAGTAATATTTAATTGACGAAAAATGATGAGAAAATAAAAAAATATTACGTAGCAGCATGTCAAAGACATATAAAGATATACATGTTTTTAAAAGTAGTGCCTGGAGGTTTATCATTGTGATTATTTCACGCTACATGATTCGACGGTGGTCCTTGAGGTCACGCGATGCCACCCAAGAGAAAAGAATAGCTTGAGAAATACACCATAGTCATGACAAAGTCATGTAAAGGTTTAGAAAATTTAACTTCAAAAGTATTGATTGAAATCAGCGAACCCAATGAAATACTTTGGAGTAAAAATTATCGACTCTGGTGAATTAGAATAGATAATTTTAAATATAAAACTTTTGGAGTAGCTGGTGAGAGGGTTGAAGAGTTGCTTTTTTTTTTGTGTAACGATTGATTGTCCATCGGAAAAGAGTTGGAGAATAAGAACGAGAGCAATAAGAGGAGGAGGAGGGTCGAGATCCTGAAGAAAAACAGGCGGGATGAAATAGACGGTCGTAACAACGTTGGTGGGATGTAGGAAGAGGGGCAGAGTTGGCTGAAGGACTGTAGAAAGATCGGCGAGAAGCCTTTCATAGAAAGACGCAAAGCCCAACACTCTTGGGACAGGAGAAAAAAAGAAGCAAGAGAGTAAGAGAATGAGAGTGTGGGGAAGTAAGCAAGAGGGAGATGGTGTATGCGTAGCGTGGTAGAGAAGCGGCATCGTCGCACGGGGCTCTGGGGCCAGGATATTTCAATACCGACAGTCGGAAGAGGGGAAAGGTTACCCTCCCTTCTTTGAATCTATCTCTCTTTAAGTTGGTCTCTTTTGCTCTCACATCACCCGCTCCCCTCGCGCAGAGCGCCCGAGGCCGCGAGAACCCCAGAACTGATACGACACACGTTTATGTTGCGCCAGAGCGAGACCTGTGGCACAGCTCTGTTATTCGGGTATTGTTGGGTGAGTGCGAGAGCTGAGGGGAGGATGAATGTTGAGTCGAAGCCGCGGTCGTTAAAGGGATTGAGGGGGGAAAACGCAAAACACACTGTTGTCTACTGACGCGCGTCGACGCCCACTTGAAGCAGCGACAGACAGACGCTGTAGGAGGGGCCCAAGTGTTGATTGGACGGCAGCTAAATAGAAGGGAGCAATTGGCGGGACGCCGAGTGCGGTCTACCAATCCAATTCCTTCCAGCGGGTTTTTATTCAAGCATTTATACCAAAGGACGGAAGAGCGGGCCGTCTGCTAGCAGCGGAGGACACTCTTGTTTCGGGATCCGTGGAGGTTACACGCGTTTGTACTCGTAGCGGTTTTTAGGATCTCGTTACGGTCGCGCGCGCAGTAGCTCGCGCATACTCTTCAGAATACGTGCCAGTGTGGTATAAGACACATCCAAGTGTCATATACCAATTGAACGGTTTACCTTTATACGGTACCGTCAGCATTTTGGATTTATTCATTTTTGAAATATTAGTGAAGAAAGTGCACCACAAGTTGGTCGTCGCAGTGCAGTGTTTATCGGCGAGGTTACCACGTTTAATGTGTATTAGTGCGTATCTGTACATTAAAAGTGTACTCAATAGAGAATGTAGAGTGTATGTGTGTGACAGAACGTCGCAGACTCACGGTAGAGGATACACGACGTTGCCAGATCAACGATCCAACGGCTATATAAACCAGTATAAGTGCGCACACTTGATAGATACTCATATGTTGTATTAGTATTTGTGTACGTATGAACTATTTGATCGATTGGGCAGAAGGATAATGCCTAAGGATCGTAGGTAGAGCACGGAGAACAGAAGCGTGAGGATACTTACACATTGGAAAACGTGTAGTAGTGAGCTCGTGACATTTGGTGGGACTATCGACTGAAACTTGGCAACGTTGCAACAGAGCGGTTGCTCTCGCACATACAAGGGGACTTGGGGTAGTCGGCAAGCTCGACTCTCTCATTTCAGAGTAGCACACAAATATCTCTGTCTTTGTCCTCACTACCTCCATTGCACCTTCGTCTCTCCGCCACATTCCCCTTATCAACGTTATTATTCCCCTCTCCTGTGGTGAGTCGTTCGATCCTTCTCTAACCCCCCGAGCGTATCCCCGCTCTCAATCCCCCACGCAACCGGGTCGGGCGAGTCCACGAACGAGTTTGCGAGGGGAGTTAGGCAGACTTCGAGATTAGTCTGCCGTGAACCGGAGAATGTGTTAGACGTTGGATGAGTATCGGTTCGTTTTACCGTTAACTCATTTTATAAGACTTTAGAGTTTTCAATAATAAAAAAAAATCTACAACTTTATTGTAATACCACTTGGACCTGAAAAAAAGGACGACAATTCGTAATATCGACATAAAACTGGATTAACGTCGTTTCGTATATCCGCCTGACGGCCATGTTTGGTGTTTACGAGGCAAGGGGGAGCAGTTGCTGGTTCTGACGTCACAGAACGAACTTCACCGAAGTTACCCGGAGAGAGCAGCACAAAACTACTCTACTATATCACCAATCTACTACATATACATATTTATATATGTACAACTACTACTAATACCTTACTACTACACTACTACTACTATTACTGCTATTCTCTTACCATCGTCATCCTCGTCACTTGGAAAACGTGTTACTTGTTAAAGGCACATTGGCGTTGACTTTGGCAAAATTAGGACTTGGTGAAGCCGCCTGTGTGACAAGGACTTATCGTCTATCAACGTGAAAGTCGTTGATCAGTGAGCTCGGCGTCAACACGCGGATTGGGTCTTCAATAGCGCGCGTTTAATTTGCTCCCGATGGGACGTGCGTGTCCGCCTCTGCTTGTACTTGCCGGTCGTACTGGCGTTACTCGCCGTCCTGAAAACATTTCCCATCACGACGCTCCTGTCTCGCCGCTGAAATAGCCGCTCTCTCTAATCATTGGCCCCAGTGGTGCGGCACAACCTGAGGCCAGTGCAAAAAACATACGGCCATGTCGACTATCAAGATAAACCCGAGCCGCACGTGTTGGAGTTTATCGTAAATAAATTGGATGAAAATTATCCTCAGTGACACTGGATTATAAATTGTTGATTCTTCTATCTGAAGATCATTTATGTGTGACTTTATTTTGTTTATCTATCTTTTAATATAAATCATCACAATAATTCAGTGCATCTAACATTTTACGCAATTACATTTGGATTACGCGTGTGTACTCAAGTGAAAAAAGGTTCATATGAAAATTTGATAGTTGTGAGTGATAGACAAGTTATTTACAACAATTGGATATGTAAATAGATTGTCGAAGTGTAATACGTCAATAACAGTGACGTGATATTGATCATTTGGATAAACAGTTAGTTAAAAAAATTGACAAGAAATTAACAATATAAAAATGGATTTAGGAGACAGGGTTTACGCTGCAGAAAGGATCACGAAGAAGAGAGAAAAGCGGGTAAGATTACTTGATGTATTAAAAAAAACCACCAGGCGGCGTTAGCCGACAGAATGTTATTTGCTAGTCTAGAATATCCCCACCCGTTAATATCAGGAGGGCAGGAGTTACCTCTTCAAGTTAATTCCCCTCCCCTTGAGATTTATACCATGCTCGAGACTCTCCAACTTGACTCGTTAAATGCTAACGGGGACGCTTCTCTTTCTCTTCCTTTTTTCTCCCTTTTTTTTTTCTTCTTTCTCTTTCTTTATCTAACAATCTATCTTTCTTACTCTCTCCATAACTCGATTCACGAAAGGGGAAAATGGTCTTTGGGCCAGGCAACTCGTTGCGTCACGCGATCCATTGCATGGAACGTTACGCGATCTTTGTGTTTCGTAAAAAAAAAATGTTGGATGAGTTTTTTTTTAACTGGGTAAAATATCTCCAACATTCAATCAAAGATTTAACATCAACATAAATTCAATTGTTCTCACTAACACTGACTGTCATCGTAAGATCGAAAAAAGAATCTTCAATAATTTTTTGCAAAATTCAATACAATACTGAATGATTAATGAATGATTTGATCAGTTTTGTATGACTAGCAAATAATATTAAATCAATTGAAAATAGTTAAAGTTAGAGAATTAAAGATCAACTTTTTGGAGCAGATTACTAAATATTGTAACACAATCGAAAAATGTATGATAATTATTGTTTGAGCACATTCAAATATATTTAGAGTCATTTAAATGTATTCAATTTATTCAAAAATAAAAGTTCATTCATTACTTATCGAAATTTGTGTTACATAAATTTTGGAGTTGAAAATTCAGATGAATTTTATCTAGAGAAAGAATAAAATAAAATCGTGTATTGTATGTTTTTTTTTGCAGGGTAAAGTCGAGTATTTTGTTAAGTGGAAGGGCTGGAGTAAAAAGTACAACACATGGGAACCAGAAGAAAATATTTTAGATGTCAGGCTCATTGAATTATACGAAGAGAGCCAAAGAGGAGGTGACGTTGTCACAAGAAGACCCAGAAGGAGAGACGCAAGATACAACGTAAGATACTGCGCTTTGTTGGATGATGAAATTGATGAAAAAGATTCAAGTACCAACGTCACTACTTTACGTCAACAGGAGCAGGTTTTAGCTAGTCTTCATGTGGCAGAGGAGCCTGGTGGAGACGAAAGAGTTGGTGAAGACAGTCAAGATGAGTCTGGCAGTACCTCAGCACCTCGATTAAATCCTGCTGCTGATGAAGACACGTTGCCGAGCTCGCTCGATGGTCATGAGTCTCCAACACCACCCGAATTATCAGCGTCAGCATTCAGTATCGATTCAGACAGTTCAAACAGCAGCGTTGACATTCCACTCATAGCAAGAAGGGAACCAGCGGGCACCAAGAGGAAAGCTGAGGTCTTAAGCAAAGAATCAGGCAAAATTGGCGTTACTATAACCACAAGTCCGAGCAGTGGCGGTGGAAGTCCACCTCCTAATAAAATTCCACGTCTCCTTCCTATCAAGGGCAATGCCACTCCTTATCACGTGAGTTTTCAATTAGAAAATAATTATTAAGTACAATAAATGAGAGTGTGAAATAGAATTAAAAATCCACTTTTAAAAAAAGATAAAATTATTATAATTAAACGAAATGGGTTGTTAAATCTATTGAATTAAATAATTTACGTTTGTATAAAATATAAATTGTGTTCATATCGATACAGCTTTTTGTAAAAAAATTTCGACAAATAATTTATTAGAGTCAACAATCGAAACTTTGAAGAAATTCAACTACAAAAGTATGCAATCAATTATTTATATTGACATAAAGAGGAGCTAATTAATAAAAATTTGATTATTGTTATCAAGTCAAGTAATTGATTTTAATTTTCAAATAATCTTTATAGAATCACAAACTAAATGGCAAAAGACCTTCATCATCTGGTGTTAAATCAACGCCAGAAGAGCCGCTTCCAGCAGTTCCAACAACTCCAGCACCTGCAATTCAGGACAAAAAACGACCTGAAGCTGATGTACCACATGGTCCACCACCTTCTCTACCTCGGGCACCTCCCGCCCCTCTATCTCCAAGAATAGATACTCCTCTAGAGCATCCGCCAAAAAAGAGACCTCTAGAGAAAACTGAAAAGTCAAATGGCACAATGACTGACACAAATGGCCACAAATCCCCCAGTCCTACTGATGCTTACACAAATAATAACAGGTTAACTTCTATTGTTAATGGCCATCACGGACATAATAATAATAACAACAATAATAATAACATCAACAATAATAATACGAGTAATAATAATAACAATAACAATAATAATGCGACAAGTATCATACCACCGGAAATTATAAAATCCAACGTGTATATTCCACTGACCAGTCCAAGTACTGATTATTGGCACGCGAGAAATCCTGTTGCTGATCAAGTATTTATTACTGACGTTACAGTCAATTTAAAAACCGTCACTATCAGGGAGTGTAAGACTGAGAAAGGATTTTTTCGTGAGAGAGATCCTAAAAGCGATATCTACTGAATAAAATGAAAACAAGAACATTAAATAAGCCAACAGAATGTTTGACTTGAAAATCGTAATTTAATGATTGTACATATAAATTATTTTCACACTAAATAACGTTAAGATGCTACAAAAATAGACTTCTTGTGACAATTCAAACAGACTGTTGATAGAATATAATGAAATTGTTATCGCAAAATTGAATTGTCAGTGACGAAATTATCAATATCTTGTAATAATGTGATTTTACTATTCAGTCAATGGATAAAATCACCACCGAAGAATCGAAAAGAATTACACTGGTTCCAAATATTTATTTTATTGTCTAAATAATTGAAAAAATATCGAAAATTTAAGATCTTGATATTGTATATATTTCTGAGTGAAAAGTCTAATTGATCATTAACATTAATTTCTAAGAAAATAAAAAAAAAATATTGAAATAAGTTTAATAATAATGTAAAAACTTGTCAGGTTCTTTTCTTTCCATATCATTCAGAAATTAATGAAATATTAATTGTACTTTTCTTAAGTGTATGCTTGGTAGATTCTAGATTGCACTGATCCGGTGATTAGATTGGTAATAAAATGAAATTTATAATAAATTAAATATTGAAATATACTTTTGAATCATGATCATAAATATTTTGCCGTAAAACTGTCAGAAAATCAATTTATGGACAGATAAATTTAATTTATTGAACAAGCTTAACAAAAGATATCATTAAAAATGAAATTATAATGTTAATATTTTCAACTATCATATTAAATAATTGATTAATTGATTGATTGGTATTATTAATTATTGCTAGTGATGAGCAAATATATTATTTTATTTTACTTCTAAGACTCACTTACAAAAGAAAAGTTATCGTTTATGTTTTTAGCTGTGTAAATTGGTTATTTTTACAGTCGATTTTTAAAGTTTGTTGGCGTTATTATTGATAATATTAATAACAACGATTATATTAACATTTCTTTGTTAGCTAACAAAGATATGAAAATATGTTTCTTATTTTGTTCACGTTATGTTTTAAAATGTGTGTTAATTTGCACTTGTAGTTTTTCGTGATGGGCTATAAGTCTTTTTATCATTTCAAATCGACCATCTGATACATGTCAGATTTTTAAATTGTTGATTATTCATTAATAACAGCTTATTAATTATTAATTCATCATTTAAGATGATTTATTACAATCTAGAAAATCAAATAAGTTCTCATGAGAGCATATCTTTTAACACTACAATTTTTAACAGTAACCAAATTGTTATCACTTATTTCAAGATTATAGTAACAAATTCAACTGAAATGATAATTTTTATTTATATAATCTCATAAATATGAGGTGATCGTAATCGTACATCTTCAGAACCAGTAAATCCGTGATATAGATAATTATAAATAGATTGTAAAGGCTAATTATATATGTATACTGCTTATTTATTAATTGATTAGTTATCAACTATGATTAATTTATAGATTTTTAAATTTTAACGTAATCATATGTGACAAATATACACACGAGTAATGAATACCTGCTTTTAATTTAAAACATAAATCACGAGTTTTTTAATCAAAGGTTCGTTGTAGAATCTCTCTCAAAACGAACCAAAGATCATTTTTTTAAAATGAATTTCTACATTCGTGTGATGACTGATGTGGATTGCGATAATTATTTACATTATATACAATGATATAGAAATCATAAAGAAAAAATTTAACGTAAATAATTATCGTCATTTTTGTCATCTTATCGGCAAAAATATTTACAGAAGACATGTTATTATGTATAATTGTATATTAAAAAGACGTACTATTGTAAAAAGTGTAAATAGAGAAAATGAATTTCTTAATTTTTTCGCTGATTAAATGAATAGATTCAGAGTAGATGGACATTTTCTTCTATTTTTTTTTGTTTCACAGTTGTAAATATAAAAGAAGAGCGAAATTAAATAAAATACTTCATTTATGGTCATTTATGTATGTAATTATTATAAATGTAAATTTAAAAAAACGCAAGGGTTATTATTATATCATAATTATTATGACAATTATTATTGCTATTATTATAATTATTATTATTATTGATGAGAGGGAAAGAATAAAATTTTTTAGATGTAGAATTTTTAAAATAGACTGTGCGCGTACCTTCGATATTTTTTCTGTACTTATGGACATTCATCTATATGATAGAGAACAAAAGAAACAGAAGTGTGGAATGTCGCAGTGACTACGCAAGGCATATATTATATATGAACCCCAGTAGTACCAAATCCAACAGTAATTTTAGTTCTGTCTGGTACAGATTCCTTATATTTCAATAAAATCATTACTTGAAATACTGTTGTTATACTTATTTATTAATCCTCATTCTAAGAATGATTTATTTATCATTCTATGAATTAGTGAATTTTTATTCCGATTTATTTTTTAAAAAACAATAAACACGCTATAATCTCAAAAAATTAGTGTTAAAGTAACAATCTTTTATTATACCATTGAATGGTCAAACAGACGCTATCAGTAGAATTACTTAAAAAACTAATTTATTTTCAATAAAATTATTAATTAGTTCGAATTAATGATCAGCCGCTGCTGTTATACTTATTGATAGTTATCAACCAAAACCAATTAATTGAAAAATTATTCGACTAAAGAAATTCATTTTTCAGTTATATAAAATGATATTCAATAATATATGGTAAAAATTTCCTGTTAACTTTTTCAAATATAGATAAGTTGAATTATTCATTGAAATATTTGATTTGAATTCAGTTGAAGAAATTTTTATATCAGTAATTATTCTAAATTTTTCATTTAATGGTAAATGATATCTTGATTTGATTTCAAGTATACAAATACATTTAGATAAATTATTATATAAAAAGTTCTAATTCATTAATAATACATAGAAGCTTTACATTGTTAAGTTCAATTTTATCAATTATTACTAATACTTACCTTAGATAGCAGTGTAATTAAGACAATTTTATCGAAACAAAATTTCACCAAACTCCACTTTCGATGTTCTACTGTTTTTAGACGCTCGTTTATTTACATTCAATACGCAATAAATATGCGTCTTTAAAAACAATTTTCATTTCACTACATTATGAGGTAATTGTTAGTCTAAATAAATAATAATAATTTATCAATAATATTTGCTCTAATTGCGCTAATCACTCATTTAATTAGTAAAATGTTTAACGAAAAAATATATTAATTATCAACCATTTGAAAACAACTGACAATCGGAGCTTGAGAGTTATTGCGCAAGCGTAGCGTCAGTTGCAGGCTTGCCAACCAAGTTTTGTATAGTTATAACCGTAAGTCACTAGAGTTCAACAAAGTCCTAGTAAATAGAATGGCAGCACTGACAATCCAGAAAGCTTGTGCGTTGACGCCAATTGTCTGTGGAATTTGTGCTAGGGTTTTATCAGAAATATTTTTTTGTACAACAGCCAGAACGGTTGGTTTATTTTTTACAAGTAATATCAAATAAAGTAATAGCGGGGTCGTAACTTCAGTGCAACCATATGTGTTGGATTAAAAGAAAATAATATGTGGGTGAAACCACAAGAAGTTTTACTTGCCAACGCGTTTTGGTAAATATCAATATACTACCATAACTAATAAATTGTTTACATCGAGTGTCAAGTACAGCTGATGAATGATTTTTTATATAAACATGCACATGGTTTGATTAATTATTCATTAAAACATTAAGTTATTTCATTCTCAAGATTTATACTCATTAGTTTGATAAACTTTTTTTTATCGTACTAAATTTTTTTATTTTTTATTGTCATTGTCAATATCGTGCTCATAAAATTACGAAATTGACTACATATGAGCAAGTAAATCATATAAGAAAATTATTACATATTTTGTGATTAAATCTGAAGGTTACCAAGTTCTTTAAAACTATGCATTATTTTTTTAATTTATTTAATTATATAAGATAGAAAGTACTAAAAGAAATTTTAATTAAAATGAAACTAATTTAATTAACTAACAGTTTTAAAAATAGAAAAAAAAATTTATTTTATATTTTTGGAGTAATTCTATTTTAATTCTATATAATTTTTTAAAATGAAGCTCATAAATTGTTAAGATGAAGGAAAGTAAAAAAAAAATCAACAGTTATGCTCTTCGTTTAGTAATATGTTTGAACGTTATTCACTTTGAATATTAATATTTTTATACATTTCAATAATTTAAGAAATCAATATATATTCTCATACAGGGTTACAGAGCAGGCAACCGTTTACTTTGTGTTACAAAGACGAAAGGGTCATGGAAAAAGTAAAGGACTGTCATCAATACTCGTTGGAACATTGGACAGTGTATTCGATACGAAGCCTCCTCCATTTCGAATTCTACATCAAACGCCATCATCAGAAGTTTATTGGGGTATTGATAGTTTAGTGACAAATTGATTTGAAAAATTCTTTATAAATTTTGGTTGTCAAATTGTTCATACAATTGATAAGAGTTCAAAAGATAACGATAACAAAAGACATGCATTTGTGGAGCAGATGCTTTTTTGACAATCTAATCTTTCAACTGTCTACCAGTTAAATAGACAAAACAAACAGTAGAAATATTTATAAAAATATTTGTTACTTTTTTAGTGGTAGCATGTTCACTGACTCATGAAGAAATTTTACAAGATTGGGAATGGCTTCATTCAAATTTAATGGATACTTTAAAATCTTTTGATACCGAAGAGGAAATAACAGAATTTGTTTGCTGTAAAATACAATCGATTATTGCCAATAATGTTCCAGACTGTCAATTTGCTGAAGGTAATATAAATATTTAAAAAAAATATTTTTTTAATTAGACTCGTGCAGTAATATTATTGAATAATTAATTCAATTATTTACTTATCATTAATTATGTGCACGAACAATAACATAAATCAAACAAAAAAGCATTATCTTTGTTACGTTTTTGAATTAAGACTTTCTTATTTATCATAACTTGAGATTATTGCTTACAATAAAGTCTGAGTTATTTAACCGGCAGAATAATACTCTAAAGATAATCATTGTTTCAATGATTAATAATACAAAGATATATTTTATTGATCAAAAAACTTCATTTACTTCACTGTGCTTCAGACATTGAAGTATTTTTTTCAAGCGTCATCACAATATTATAAATGGTAATGAATAGTTTATTGAAAATACTATTTATTATGATTTCCAGAGGAAGATCCGCAGTCATTTAAAACAGCCTCTTTCAAATTTCATCAACTTTTTAATCTACCAAGTGATGATAAACTTGTCAATTATTATTCGTGTAGTTATTGGAAAACACGTTTACCTAGACAAGGATGGTTATACTTGTCCGTCAATCACATGTGTTTCTATGCGTATATCCTTTCAAAAGAAACAAAGTTAATAATAAGATGGGCTGATATTGTGGAGTTGGATAAAACTAATTCTCTGGTATTCCCAGACAGTATTCGTATTGTTACTCGAGACAATAAAGAGCATCATTTTTCCATGTTTCTACGTAAGTCTGAGACTTATTCATTAATGGAACAACTCACTAATATTGCAATGAAGAGGTATGTTCGTTTTTAGTTCAATATTTAATACTCAAAGACTTAACTAATTTTGATGAAATATAAATTAAACAAATAAATGATATTATTATTAATCATTTTGTTTTAGACTAATTGATGAAAAAAGTGGATTCAATGAAGATAGGGAGTTATTGAATAAATTAAGGTATTTATAATAATTATAATTGTCTTAAGTGAGAATTTTTATTATCACTGTTGATGTTTTCAGTAAAAATGTACCAAAAAAGCCTTCATTTTTAAAACGTGATCTCGATGCACGAGCACATTCAGAAGCATACAGATTACAGTTTCGATTACCAGGAAATGAGAAATTAGATGGTAGTATTGACGCAACACTCTGGACACCGTATAATAAACGTGACGTCTGGGGAAGAATATTTTTATCACAAAATTATCTCTGCTTTGAAAGCCGAGTGAGTAATGAAACATATTTAAACAAAAAAAAAATGTAGTTATTTGAAATATTCAAAGAAAAAAAAATAGTAAAGATAATTATAAAATTTTTTATGACATTACGATATATAAAAATGTAAGCAAACTTATTGTTTATTGATCAAGTTTTTCTTTTTTACAATTATTTCAATGTTTTAGGTCAGACAATTGGTAAGTTTAGTAATTCCTTTACGTGAAGTTAGACTGGTTGAACCTGCGGACCAATCGCCCAATTGTTCAACATCAATGGATAAATCTATTCTTGTAACTACGCCTAGAGCATCTTTTTTGTTTGCACAAATTCAAGACAGAGATTTTGTGGTTCAGAAAATATCTGAATTATTAACAAAGACTAAATTGATGCAATTGTAAGTTAATAACTCGGTAATGATAGCTATGAAATATCACTAAAAAATGAGTAACCAACTTCATTAATAAACTTTCATGACAAATTCTTTTTTTTTTTAAACATTCTAGTTACTCATTAGCAAGTCCAACAAGTAATGATAATGAAGAAACAATAAAACCAAAAAATTCTTGGACTCCACAACCACCATTAATGACTCTTTTTAAAGCTCCACTGAGCACTGAAGCAGCTGTGAAACAAGAAGCAAAAGAAAAACAATGGGAACTGCACTTTGCAGAGTATGGAAGGGGGATAACAATATACAGAACAACAGAAACTGCAAAACTAGTAATTCAAGGTGTTCCTCAAACTCTTAGGGGTGAAGTTTGGTTGACATTCTCTGGTGCTTTGAATGAAATGGCAATGAATCCTGGATTGTACCAATCATTGGTAAATCAATCATTAGGGAAATCTTGTCAAGCTAATGAAGAGATTGAACGAGATTTACATAGATCATTACCTGAACATCCTGCCTTTCAATCTGATACTGGAATAAATGCTTTGAGAAGGGTTCTATCTGCTTACGCTTGGAGGAATCCTCAAATCGGTAAATTTTTTATTTAATTATTTTTATGAAATACATAAATTAAAAACAAAAGAAAAAATTATTTTTGTATTTTATTTAGGATACTGTCAAGCGATGAATATAGTAGCGTCAGTTTTGCTCATCTATTGCTCAGAAGAATCTGCTTTTTGGCAATTGTGTAATGTTTGCGAGTCACTACTTCCCGATTATTATGATCGTCGAGTAGTAGGTGCTCTTGTGGATCAAGGGTTATTAGAAGAATTAGCTGCAGAGCATTTACCAACTCTTCATGCGAAACTCAAAGAACTAGGACTTATTCGAGTAATTTCTCTGTCCTGGTTTCTGACAATTTTCCTTAGTGTAATGCCGACAGGAAGTGCTGTCAATATTATGGACTGCTTTTTCTATGACGGAGCTAGAGTTATATTTCAAATAGCTTTAACTGTGCTAGAATGGAACCAAGATAAATTATTAGAATGTCGAGATGACGGAGAAGCAATGCAATTATTAACAGATTATTTAGGAGGAGTATTCAATGATGAAGGACCAGTATTACCTCGCCCAGTTGATAGTGCAACACCTCCACGAAGTATTTCAGTGCAAACGTTAATTTTCGAATCATATTCGAGGTATGGATCTTTGACAATCGGCAAAATTGAGAGATTAAGGTTAAAACATCGTCTTAGGGTTGTTCAAAATCTTGAAGAAGGTATTGAAAAAAATGTGATAAGAAGTGTAGTTACTGATAAATATATGACGACAGAAGAACTGCAAGATTTGCTCAGTTTAGTTCGAGAAGAACTAATGAGTCAACGAAAATCCGAGCCAGAGCGTTATGATCCAACACAACCACCTTATGAAGCTTACAAAGTTGATTTTGAGCTCTTTAGAATTCTTTTTGGTGGACTTTCCCCTTGGGGAAAATGTACACAGGCTGAATCACTTGCTGCAAGATTATTTAGATTAATGGATCGCAATCATGATGGTTTCTTGAACTTTCGAGAAATTGTACAAGCAATTGGGGTTACTGCTACTGCAGATGTTACTCAGAGATTGAAACTTTTGTATACTCTGCATTTACCACCACTTCTTACTCCAGTGGATATCGATTCTCCCACACATTCCGATGGAGCTGAAGTGGCTGCTGAAGCAACAGATTTCTTTGATACTATGGAGCAAAGTGCAGCTTCTTTAGAATTAGCGATCAGTCTTAATGACGATACGGATCGGCTTTCACGGTCAATCAGTATGAACAGTCAACAAGGAGAATCATGGGAAAACCAAAGTATGGGTAGCTTGAGATCTTTAATTGATTGTAAAGAAAGTCCTTTGGAATTCAAAACAGTTCCTAAAATGTCTCAAAGACATTTTATTGCTTTATGGAAAACTCTTTATGATATGTTCCCTGCTCAACCTGAAGATCAAGATGTGTATCATTCTATTGCAACAATAGGTATAATTAATAAATTATTATTGAAGTTTATTAAGTATTCAATATATTAATAATATATTTTTACAAATAGGAACACTACTACTACAACTTGGAGATGTAGGAAAGAAATTCTACGTAGATCGAGAAGAATCTGAAGATAGTTTATTACTAGCTTCTGATACTCAAATAAAAGGAACTAAGTTCGAACGAGTAAGAAATCTATTTTAAACTGTTGAAAAAATTGAATAAATTCAATAATATTTTAATAAAATTATTTTCAATTTTAACAGTCACCAGATCGCAATGGAAATCCTTCGAGTATTTCATCTTCCACAGATCCAGACTGGGCAATAACAGTAGAACAATTCCTTGCTTCAGCTTTGAATGGTGCACCGATAACGGAGTTCTTTAGTAAAAGAGCAAACCTTTCAGAAGCTATTGCAACCTTACGCAATCGAAGATTCAATAGAGTTCATTCTTTAGCAGATACTCCAGTAATTCACGTATGACGATTTGATGAAGTCTTTGTCACTGAATGTGAGCCCATGCAAAAAGAAATTAACTTGATCAATATTAATTAATTCAATATTAATTGAATACACGTGATAATTGGAATTATTATGTTCCAAATTAATTAATTATTTAAATAATAAGTTTTTCTGTAATTATAAAAATCAACCCTGAAAAATTAGAATAGAATTTCAAAAGTGGTAACTATCAAAATAATTAATTATCATCGTCTTGACGATAAATTTGATATCGTTAAACATACGAACTAATCAGGTTCGTAAAAAATTATTGATTAAATATGAATATTTGTAAAAATAAATCAATTGATTTTTTATATAAAAAAATACTCAGGGTATATATTAATCGTTCTGTATCAGTAAAAATGGTCAAATTAATTTAAATCAGATATCAACGAGAGGACTTAATTTTCATTGACACTATTCACTAATGAACTAAAAGCGATCATTGTATTTCTTGCTCTTTTGCTCTTGAAAGATATTTTTATTTTTTATATAACTCCTAGAATAACTTTTGAAATACTTAGATTTATTAATCGAGTAATTATCAAGGTAATAAAAAAAGTCATGATAATAATTAGTTATAAATTTCTATAAATTGCACTTATGAAATGAGAACCAACTGCAACTCCGCAATACTTTTTTCACAATATCATAGAATAAAGCTGAAAATAGTTATTATTTTGTGCTCATGAATTTATACAGATAAATATTTTCTAGACTTTTATTTTTATATCAATAGCATTGGCAATGTGCAAAATATATAATGAATATTTATCAGATGTAATTAGGTTTTAATAATAAATTTTATGCAAAGCGTGTAGTTTGTTTTTGTTATGTATTTTAATTGTATATAAAATAACATTTATTTCATACTTGTGTTTATCTTTTTTGTTGTACCTTTTGCATATCAGTAATACAAATTAATATTTAATTTACTTTCGAAAATTGGGTTTAAATATAAAAATGACTGCTTTTTTTCAGAGGAATGAAATAGATCAGTTTATATTGGTATTTTTTTTATTTAATTATTTATTTAATAATTATTGTACGCATGAAATTAAAAATTCTTAGCTAAAATTCCGTCCTTTTTTGCGAGTCGAACAATGCAATCGTCGGATTCTCCCTGTAATAAAATTTAAAATAAAAAACTTGGTATTATTATTAGTTTGATCAAAGTAAAATTCATTCATTTAAAAACTAGAGTAGATATTCTAATAAAGTTACAGTCAAATTATCCTGAAATATCAGTTGCATTCAAATTAACTAATTTTATTTCTTTAATTTTAATGAAGTGATTGAAGTTATTAAAGAATGTAATTTGAAAACCAAAGAAAAAATGTTAATGTACAGTAGAAATATTTTATAGTAAATTATTCAAGTTCTTATTGTTGTAATAAATAACAATTAATGACTTTTCATTCGGTATCAGTTCTAAAATGAAAAAATGATTGAATATTATAAAGAATTTGAAAAGTTAAGATTTAAACTTTTCAAATTCATTCTTTAAAGATGATGATACTTTCTATATAACTCATCGTCTCATTAAAACCCGGATACATTTCTTTAATAGATGCAAGAAAAAATGTTGTAGAATTCTTACCATACGACGGATGGCTCCACAAATGGCGTACATTTTATGTACATCTGTCATCCTGCCAGTTGCGGGATCGACATCAGCAAGAGTTAGCTGAATAGAAGCATGATCTTTAGCATGAATAATTCTGTTGCTTGAGGAGCTACAAAAAAACATAACCTTAAAATTCAATCCCTGTCACTTTGATTAATTATGCTCTAAATACAGAACTAAATTACTTTCAAGCTACAATTTTAACATATATAAAATATAAACATTATTTAATCAACTATTTTTGATATTTTTGATCAAATTGAATATTAATTGTCAATAAAACCACGTGTTAAAACATTTATCTCACCATTTTCGCGGCCAGTAAAGATCCACAAATTCTTTTTGGTCGTTTTCCATTTTGATTACCTACAAACAAAGTTATTTATATAAATAATAGAAAAAATAAAAATTCATTATATAAATTATTTTATTAACAGATAAATAATTAATTTAATAAATAATTAACGTACTGTAGGTACTAATGCCTATCAAAGTTACAGGCGGAAAGAAAGGAGAAAAAGGAAATACAGTTGGCTATGCTGGAAAAGTATTGCTGCCAACATCAAGTATAAAAAAAAAAAGATGGCAGCACATGTCGACAAAAAAATTATTATTGGATAGTGGCGATCCTGACGGCTATTCTCTAAGATTACTGATTCCTTCTAAAACTCTTGAGCAGTGAGCTGTGTCGGGCATTCAGCGGCTGTAGTCCACTGAAGTCTTTTAACGAGTATTGAAGCAGTTATATGAAAGCTCCAAAGCAAACATACGAGTGACTGCAAAGAATACATTCAACCAGCTAGTGAAAGTGTCAGACTTATGTGATCTTAGATGTAATCTTATAACGTGTAACGAACAAAAAAACATTACTGCAAAACTTTTGGCAATAATGCATTCGTGATTTAGGCAAATTTATTTTTTGTGGCCTTTAAAAACAAATGATAGTACTGTGTTGTGTTTAATAATGTACTCATCATAAAGTACCAAATTTCTTGTTTCTATTTTTTTTGGAGTAAAGCTTTTTTTTAACTTTTGTTAAATTTTAAAAAATTTGAAGTGCAAAAAATATTGATACTGACATGTCTATGAAGGTAAGTTAATTCAATTGAATTACTCTAACTCCAAGTAAATAATTCTATAATTTGAACAGATTATCAAACAAGAAATTAATCTGATTTATAGATAAGTCATTTCGCCTGTTTCGTACTACATGCAAAATAAAATTAGCATTTAAAATAAAAAATTGGTGATATCTTGTTACTTTTAATGTGTAAATATTACATGTTTCAACACGTGTTAATGATTGAAGGATATTAGCAATAAAAAAAATCATTACATCCAATTTATCAACGATATATTAAACTTAAAAAATAATTCTTTTCAATTAAAAATTAGAAATTGGGTTAAATTTATTTTTGTGGCGCGAAATCGATTGACGTCAGTGAGTGTTAATAGGTTGAACATTGATTGAGTTAATTGAAATTTACATAAATTGCCGTTAGTTTGAATTTTCATTTAAAATGTTATTGAAACTCATTAAATTATGGTTCAAAATTTTTTTAATGAGTTTAAAGACTGTGAAAGTATTTAATTATGCTTCTTAATTTTAATTATAATGTTAATTAATTATTTTAAAGTGTCATAAAAAATAGTAATTATTATTTTAATTGGTAATTATATTGTGTAAATATTATAATGACCTTCCTCATTTCAGAAAGAATCTCCTTGGGATGTTGAATTACATCTTGCTGCAGCACGAGGTGACGCAAAACGTCTGCAAATTCTCCTGGACTCCGGACGCGTCCACGTTGATTGCAAAGACAAGGTCAGTGCTTGTTGCATTATCGAGGAAATAAATAATCCCATTGCGACATAAACTGTATTAGCTTGAAGCGGAAAAACGAGATAGACATTGCGAACCAACACAATTTCATCATCCTGACCTATTCATATTTTTTTCACCATAGAACTATTAATAGCACACATCTCTCACGAGTTACTATTACATCAATGTTTTGACAGTTTATATATAATATAATAGAATTAAAAATAGCTAAATGTGCAGTTTTCAAAGAATCACTTCCGGAGAATATTTATTTTTCAAAACAAGATATTTTTCGTTATTGTTCAAAATTTCCCTTCAATTGGGAATAACACAGATATTCTGCCCAGGCAGAAATATAATTTACCTTGCACGATCATAAAATTTACTTGAGAAAAAAAAAATTGTGCAAAGTGGAAGGGAAAATTTTATTATCCTGCAAGGTAATTATGACTCTACCTGCACAGCGTACCCGGTTTACTCTGAATTTCAGGACAATTTTCACTCAATTTTTCTTTTCGTGTGTCCATAAATCTATTTTACATTTCTACATTTATTTTTAATACATATAAATTCATTGCCATTAACATTCCAAAAAGAATAAAGATGTTAGTACATGGAAGACGTTTCAAAATATTTAATTTTACGTTTTATTTTTTCAGTAGTGTTTTTTAAATTAACAAGAAAACAGCAATGTTATTTTCTAAAATATACAACCAATTTATTTAAAAAACATTTTCTAGAATAATATAAATATATCTTATTGCAATGAAGAAAACTTTAATCATTAGCTTGATCATATCAATTGAATATGATTGAAAAGCATATCCATTTTAAATCAATTGCAAATTCATAAACTCATTCATCAATAAGCGTATAATTTTGTTTAGATTTACAATCATAAATATATATTGTCCTGATTATTATAACTAGAGGAGTGATTTAAAACCCTACTTAGTCATAAATCACAGCAAGTACTTAATTGCCGATTTGTTTGATTTAGGACGGGACAACCCCACTGATATTAGCGGCTGCTGGGGGCCATATTGAGGCCGTTACTGAGCTACTTCAACAAGGGGCGGATCCTAATGCCAAAAGGCTGGTAAGTTTGGACTCGGGCCGCCCGGGGTTCTGAATGAATGGCCGCAGAATGAATGAAACCTTACTTTAGTGTGACGATATATTCACTATGCCCACTACTAGTCACAATAATGCATATCATCGGCTCGTATTCAAACTTCCCTTTCGATTGGTTCGAAGTTTTCCATTGTTAAGCTCCTAGGCTTCGTCGTAGAAGTTGAATTCAATGGAAAAACCTATTGGCAGACTTTCCTCTCTTCTGCACTTGAGAATATGAACTTGAAGATGAAATTCCAAGTAATAAGTCAGAAGTTAATCAAGCAAAACTTGTCTGAAGTACTAGAATTCCAAGCAAAAGGAGCCATATAAATCACAATTATTGACAGCAATGTTTAAAATTAGTTTGAGGAGCTTTTTAAGTGATTTAAATCTCGAGTCTTGCGGTTGAAGAGAACTTGGAGTTCTTTGAATTAAATCAAGTCATTGACCTTATGGAGTGAACGTGGGACTATGTAGACTCATGATTTAATTTCAAATATTTTAAGGCTGTCTAATTCAGTTAATTACGTAATACTGATTTTTCTGCTTGAGGAAACTTTCATTTGATTCAAGATCATTTCTAGCTAAACTTTAATTATCATTGAATACATTTTCTACTTATGAATGAAAATGTATCGCGTATTGGAGTAACTTTCAAATTAACAAAGATAATTCATTTCTAATTTGAATAAAATAGTTGAAGTGTTTTTGTTTAAATTAAATATCATTCTAACTTACTTTTATTCAGATATTTCTTATAAATCAAGTTTAAACTGTTGATATTGTGTAAACAAAAAAAAGTAGTTGTTTTAATTTGTTCTTTTCATTCGCTTTAAAGCTAGAGTAAAAGATCTAAATAACTATCTACATGGCAAGAATTGTATTGAGTCAAAATTAACATGTAAGATCGTTAACTTCACTTTATAAAGTCACGAATTTCGGTTCGACATGATAATTTATTTAACATCAAAAGGTGTTTGACACATACTCCAAGTGTCAAGAGAATTTTTCATGCCACATCTTGACATATTTAAAATTTAAAAAAAGTCAAAAACCAACTAAAATAAAATTTTAATTTTAACCTCAACGTTGAAAGCATAATTTTTAAAATAACTAGATTGTGAACCAAGTATAAATAGTTGATATTTCGAACAAAAAGAACTCAAGTTAAAACATTCTTATCATCATGTATTCTAAACAGTGATAATCATATATTTTATCATTTATTTTTTTAACAATTGAATTTATTTGTGTCACTACCAAAAATGTCTCAATATAATAATTAAATTTTTTTTTAATCATTAAACAAGCATTAAACATGCAATCATCATCTTACCATATTATTATAAAATTTACTTATTGGTAATACTTTATAAACTCTAATGTCAAAATTGATCACATAATTATATGAAAGGCTATTTAAACATAATACTTTAATTATCGTATAGGTATAACAAAAATTCTTGTAACATCTTGACCTTTTTTATTCTCTGACAACCACATCAGCTCGTGTGCGAGCTTTCTTATAAGCATAGAGACTGCGTGGGTAGAATTAAAAGGGAAGATTCAACTTCATTATAAAGTGAAAAGCAGCGTAAGAGTCTTTATATGTAATTTAAACCTCAGACTGATGAACTCACGTAAATACAATCCTCTAATTATTTATGCATCAAAGTAACACATTCTTGTTTATAAAAATAAAACAACGGCTCGATGACTTATTCATTCATTTATGTTTGTTCATTTATCAAGAAACTCATCTTTAGTCATTGTTTGAATAAGAATTATTCAATGCAAATTGAAGTTTTTATAAAGAGTTTTATAATACTCGGTGTTTTCTTAAATTGAATTTTTGATTACAAAATGACGTTTACTATCATTATCTTTAATAATAAGTTCGTCATACTATTCTGAACGTTGTTAATAAACTGTTAATAAGCTTGTGCAATCGATATAATTTAAACACGCAAACATTCTCGGCATGATTATTATGGATAAAAGCTAGAGAAGTTACCGTCACGCCAATTTGCTTGCTGGTTGTTAAGCTCGAGATTTGATCCACTTTCAATATACTTATGTTAGCTTATAAATTATAATTTTATTCTTTTCGGTTGGTGTCTTTAATTAATTAACGATTATCAATTTTTTAATCCAAAGTATGAAAGTAGACATGTTGTTTTATAACTGGCCAGTCCTTAAGCTATATTTTTTTCAATTACAATAGTTTTTATACTTTTGAGAAACTAGTATTCTTTAAACTTCATAGAAATTACTGAATATTCTTACTTTTTAGATGTTATGTACTATCTGTAGATGAATCATTTTGTAATGTTGCTAGAAAATTGCTAAAACAATTTGAATAAGATCAGGGATAACTTTTACTCCAAGTAAAATTAGTCGTGACTTTTTTTGTTATTTCTATAAATGAGTTTTTATTTATTTAAATGATATCATTTATAATCATTTAAATAATCTTAAATATGTCATTACGTCCGTCAGGACGTAACAGTCATTTATATTTATAAAAAAAATAATAATCATTTATTATTTAAAAAAAAAGCTCTTAGCTCACTCCAAATGTTAGAACAATATTTACTCCAAAATATTATTAATTAGAAAATTTAACAATTTTGTCGTCATTAATTACTTTTAATAGTCTCTCTATAATTAAATATCTGTTGCATTGCTACTTTTACTGTAATTTCCGAAATATTCAAAACAAATGTTTCTTAATTATTAAACAATTACTGTCACTCATACTCTTGGATTATTTTTCAACTTTATAAACCTAAATCTAATCGTAAATTAGTAATTAATCATAAAATCAATAATTTCATTATAATTAAGTTACATTCAGTTCATTTAATCGCTGTTATTTTTTTTAATTATTTCAAGTCAATTATAAATACTTAATCGATATTACTAATATAATTATTTTTTGTACTATTTAATTAGTTTAATAATAATTAAAATAAAAAGTAGGCGATGCTATCAATTTATTAATGAAAATAAGTAATTATTATCAGAAAAATTATCTTTTTAAAATCATAAAATAAACGAAGCTATCCTACATGCTGTTTATTATACAGATATTTATAGCCAATTGTCTATGTAGACTTTGTAGTAAAATATTTAATATTTTTTATGATGTTATAAAATAAAATATAACATAAAATTATGCGTTATACATACAAATACACGACTATTATTTATTAAAAATAAAAAAACATTAGTTCTTTATTTTTTACAATTAGTGATGTTTATGTCATCATGACATACTAATCTAAATATCATTTATTTTTACATACGTTTGAAGCTATACTTGTGCTGTTTCCTAATGAAAATAACACAAAAGGAACGAGTTGTACAGTTAGTATTATGTCTTGAAATTCCTTAAAATAAATTCTGGCTATTCTGAATCGTCGAGGTCAAGCCAAAAGACACTCACGTATTCTACACGTATGTAATATATCCACGTTTCCTTGTTCTATACAAATATTATCATAACAAAGTACGAAGATTACATAAAAGATAGTAAGTTTATATCCATTTGATGTTGGTTTAGTTATTTTAGTTTAAATAACAACTTCATTTTTTTAGTATTTTTATTTAAGTCTTCCCTCATTAGACTTTTTAAATAAACCTATTACTTGAATTTAATAAAAATAAGAAATAAATTTTATCTATTGTAAAATAGGAAATTTATTGTCTGAGTATAGTGTTATTTCATTCGATTGACATTCCAAATGATATGTCGATTTACTTCCTGACATTTAGGAATGTTCTGATGTAAGATATTCTCTATGATGAGAGATGATCTTCAAATGTCGCGAACTTTATCGAGAAAATAAGAATAGATGACTTATAATATATCATGAATTTATTGTATTCTAAATGAGTCCATCTCAGTTGGAGGTAATTTCAAAGCAAGAGTAAATACTTAATATATGGTTTCACGGTTTAGAGTACAATAAAAATGTTTCACTGCCCACTTTCACACTTCAATGCTTGTCAAACGCTCGTCAGTATAATAAAGAAACGAGAGGGCCTATTATTCACACCGATTAATCATCAATATATTGTTGCAGACTGGAACAACTTCGCTGTTTTTTGCTGCACAGGGTGGATTTGTAGACATTGTTACGCTTCTTATAGAACATGGAGCAACAGTAGACTCATGTAGTATTGTAAGTTAATTAGAAATATTTATTATTACTAATATGGAGTTAAAAGACAATTGTTACATCAAAACAATACCAAATATAAAAATGCAGTTGAATTAGATGTAAATTTTTGTAGAACATTGATATCAATTAAATGAATGATCTAGATATACCAAACGCTCTTCAACATCACATAACAAGCTAACTCATAATATAAAGTACTTAAGAATTTAAAAATTAGTTAAATGAATAAATTTGTTAGTTTTTCATTGGAAACTGCGTTATTTATATTTATCATATATGTAGTTTCTATCTATTCATAAATTCAAAAAGAAAGTCTCATGACACAATTTTATTATTTTATTTTAGGATGGAGGAACTCCTTTATTTGTTGCCTGTCAATGTGGTCACTTAGACGTCGTAGAAGAGTTGATAGAAAAAGGTGCAAATGTTAATGCACACATGAAGGTATATATCATTTTCATACTCATATGTAAATTATAGTGTTCCATGACTAATGAACTTGGTAATTAAATGAAGTTAAAAGATGAATATTATAATGATTATGGTGTTGTTAATTATGTTAGGATGGAGCAACAGCGTTATTTATAGCAGCACAAAATGGTCATGTACGCATTTTAGAGGTATTACTAGGACAAGCAGCAAAAATTGACTCTGCCAGGACAGATGGAGCTACGCCCCTTTGGATTGCCGCTCAAATGGGCCATGATCATGTAGTAAGAAGACTCCTGAAGGCCGGAGCCAAGGTCGATGCTACCAGACACGTAAGCTATCATCATCAGATCCACTTTTTCATCTTGTAATTTATACCACATGAGTTGTGTCAATGAACGCTGGCTATTTTTATATTTACTTAGGACGGAGCAACACCACTTTTTAAAGCTGCTCATAAAGGCCACACTGCGGTCATTGGAGAACTATTGAAGTATCGACCATCTCTTGGCATTTTACCTGTAAGATATAATTTGTTTTATTTTCTCATTCATTTTTAAAACCACAATCATTCAAATGGAAAGTTTAGTGAATAATAAAAATACACTTTTTGATTGACTAAGAATATTAATCATACATCAAGTACAACTTTCTATTTATTTTAAAAATAGAGTAGTAGTCAATTCTAGTTATTACTAATTATCAATAATAATGAATTTTTACTGTGTATACTTTAGCATCAGTGATAATGTTTTATGCGTTACCTAAGTGTGAAACTTGATATGCTACGCTGTGTTTCTGTAAAAGTAGTATTTGTTCAAGATATTCACTGTTAAATTTCAAAATTATATACGTTTCTTTTAAAACTTTATCTAGCATAAAGTATTTGTATATTTTATCATGTTTTTGCTTTGTCAATATTCTATTAATTTAATTTTTTGTTATTTTCGAAATTTCATCATCTGAGGGATTAAATCGTTGGTCTAACTGTTTACAGAGAGAATGTTGTTAGATATTTCTGTTAAATCATTAAATGAGCTACTTTTTCTATCGATTTTAACCGGAAGAGGATTCAGTGAGGCATTGGAATTAATTTATCCTGTAATTCCATTTTCAGAACGGTGAAAGTGCACTTCATGCTGCAGCCTTGACTGGGCACATGACAGTTGCAAGGCAATTGGTAGGAGCTGGCGCCGATCCTCTGCTAGTAAATCAAGAAGGACTTACACCGCTCCAGCTCGCAATCAGACATTCTCAAACCCAGGTCGCCAATTACCTCAAGGATAAAGTGAGAGCAAGAACTGCATCACGTTGATATACCATAAGTATAAAGTAAAGATGTGAGATGTTAAAGTTGTCCGATAGGGTTCTCCTTGCCTTTTATTATTCGTTGTTGTTGATCGAAACTGGTTTTTATACCAGTTATACTTCAATAAGAGATCCTGAAACAAATCAGTATTTCTTAAAAATTATTGCAATAATTTTATACACACTGAATCTAACGGAGTATGATAAATTATAATAATTTAAAATAATATCCAATTGAATCAATAATATTTTTCAATACTTGTAGATATAAACACTTACACATAAGTAAAGTAACTAAATATAACTTGTTTTTCATGATCCGTGAGGATCCATGGCCGGGTGTTGCATTATTTTGTACATAAAGTAATAGGAAACTAAAAATGAGGAAATTTAAAATTACAGTTAAATAACTAATAAATTTAATATAGTTTTTGTACTCAATTTTTTCTAGGATATCAAAGAGTTTAAAAATATTTATTGTCATAACTTGAAAATAATTCAGGAGAATATTTTTGTTATTTATTTTATAATTCATTTAGTTTCTTAAAAATTAGCAGTGGCTAACTCGTGATAATTTCTTTGTGTATATCTTTAATGCAGTATTTGTTAAAAAATGAATTTATATTGTGTCTAACAAGACACTAGTCAATACAATTATAATTCTGTGTAATTAAACAATGAATTGTATAAAAAAAAATTGAAATGATTTATTTTATTGTATTATAATTATCAGAGAATTTATTAAAATGAATTGGAGATTAATTTCATCAAAAATTGTCAATATATACTGCATTAAGGAGAGTTAATTTGTCTTATAATTATATTACCGTCCATGATTTATGAAGGAAAACTTACATTTTTGTCAGTCTTATGAATTAAAATGAACGAAAAAGAGGAGGAACTTAAAAAAAAGACTGACTAATTTGCCTTGAAATGCATTCAACATTTAAAGAAATGCAAATAGTATAATTAATAAATTAATTACTAATAAAAATATGTATAAATTATTTCTCAATGTAGCTATAAATGAGATAATCATGAATCTCAATCAAGATTCTGTTATTTAAGTTAATTGAAACATAGTTAAGCATTATACTGCAAATGAAAATATGTAATATATTTGAATATCAATTTCAATTAATGTAAAAAATGTTTCCAAAATAACATACCATTCCTTCCACAATGACAAAAATATATATTTTCTCATATAGTCTTCCTCAACTCACAACTATTCTTGCATAATAACATACTATAACAGTTAATTAATTTAGAAATTTGTTATTGTTACAAGATGTACTGAAGAAAAAAACCAATAAAATACAGATTGTCATTAAAAAAATTTTTCTGCTTAGTTATTTTTTTTTAATTTATTACAATATATAGCTGTACGGATAATAAAATACCTTTGGAATACATTGACTAAATTTTTAAAAATTACATCGAATGTTTCATCTTAAATTTTTAATATACTTATCAAACATTCACTCACATTAAAATTAATGGAATATTTGTAAAAGTAAATAAGCAAAATAATTCATAATATTACTACAGAGTTAATTAAAATTTGCTTCCATTTTCAACATAATATTCTTAATGCTTTAAAGATATTTTGTACCTTCATTATATAATATGATTGATAATCATTGAAACTTTTTGTGTCACAGCCTTTTTCTGATACTTTGTTATAAGAAATACAACGTAGCAAAAAATACAATGCGATTTTATAATTGTAAATACAACATTAAAAAAGCGTAACAGTTGAAGAAAGATTTACTAATAATTATTAATATTTCACCTTCTAAATATGTAAATGTTTATTTTGATAACTGGTTAAATTTAAAAAGTATTTATAGATAAACTCACAACATGAATTGAAAATGAATTTTTTTCGCAGATTCATGTAATAAAAGGCTGAAATAATACAAAAAAATATTATTAAAATGCATGAGTTCGAATTATCTATACGGATTAAGCACAGCCTTGCTAAAACCATCTGCCAAGTACTTATTTCCTTTGCGTTACTTATGCAAAATATTCTAGTACTAGTAAAGTAACTCACTTTGAACTGTACGAAGTGTGAGAAGAGTCTTAAGATGTGTCAACTGTTATACTCGTTGCTTAAGACAATGAAATAATGTTTGTAGTAAGTGGAATTGTGTTATCGAAGAGGTTCAGGAGCAAAGGCTGATAAAGACTGATAATAAAACACACCTTTCGTTTTGTAGTCAGTTGAAAACCGTATTTTGAGTGTTATCTACCATGGTTCGAGATCGAATACTTGAATTATGTGCTGTTAGTGTTATTACTTCAAGGTTTATTCCATTTTTTTTAGAGTCATTTGTCATTTATTTCACTATCAGTTAGCAAAAATGCTTTCAACAAGAGTTAATAATTTTTTTCAAGGCTTACAACAATTATATAAGACTAATGACTTTAAACTTTATTACTCTAGATTTAAAAAAATGTTTTATACATTGTAACAATTAATTTATTAGTCAATTTAATTGATAAAATAAAAATATAAATTATTTTTTTAAAATATATTATGTTTTCTTTAAGAATAAAAGAAATGATTCAATGGGGAGAAATTTTTTACAAGATGTTTGTACACAAATAAATCATAATAAAAAAATAAAGGATGTTTTAGACGAAGTATGTATTTTCCAAAAATAATAATTAATTAATATTTTGAGTTAATTAATTAAAAGTTCATCTATTTAGGCGGAAAAAATTCGGGCAATGATTGATGTTCTCAGAGATAATATAAATGTTGTTAAAGATTTACACAATAATGTTCTATCTCATACTGATCACGGTAAGTTGATTAATTGATTAATTTCTGATATTTGTTAGTGGATAATTTTTTTAATACCTATTTACATTATTTTCAGGTATACAATTAGAGTTGGAGTCCCGAACGTTTATAATATCACAAACTGCTTTCAAAATTCGAACGAGTTTAAAAGGTAAGCGCAAAATTGTACAATAGAATCACACGAAACGTTAGTGATCGTTAAATTTTTGGATTGTGTTAGTATAACTATTTACATCAGTAATGAAATTAATTAGAAGATAGAATTTTCATAAGGATTTAATTCATTCTAATAAATTGATTAGAAAATCAAGACGATTATTAGTGTTTTCTTGAAGGTTTTGGAGTGTTACTTAACCCCGGTTCTTCAGAATTATTAGTAGTAAATTAACTTGAATTTTCGTTTGTTTGTTTACTGCTAATTTTACAATTATTACCACTACTGGTAATTGATTGATTTGAATGTATTGGTATATCAATGGAACTGAGAGGAGAGCTGATATTTTCCCATTGAAGTGGAAGTTTATGTAATATAATGCGAGGAATTCGATCACTATCCAATAAAGGATGCGCCTGAGGTGTTGATGGTTCAGAGATTAAAGTATTTTTTTCTCCCTCTGTTTTTTGACTTTCATCTTCATTACCACCACTGTTTTCCTCTTCTCCTCCTTGTTCTTCGTTTGTATAAAGCTGGCTCTTCTTATGTAACTTCCTGAAATCCAATTTACTTTTACTTCTTCTTAAGGATATTTTCAGTATCGCGAAAAAACTTTGTTTATGAAAAAAAATAATAAAAAAAGTTTTTTCACTGATTAAAATAAAAAAAAATGACGATATCTTGTTTACCGTAAATCATTTTCCAATTCATTTTCGATTTCAGGATGTTCATTATATAGAGAAGACAATTGATCTTTACTGAGTTCAGAGCCTACTTTTATAATTAATTTTCTCACTTCTTCAACTAGATTTGATTGTTCGGCTAATGTTTTCTTTAATCTCATTAAATTTGGTAAAAGGACTTGATAATAATGCTTTTTTATTCCTTCAACAATTACATTAGCTGCATGAGATACTGTAACATTATTCGTAGATTCTTCCATATCATCATCATTGTGTTTATTTCCACAAGAAGATGGTTGAAGATAATCACTACCAATAATGTACAAAGTATCTCTCAATATACATTGTCCCTTTTCTTCATTAACTTTTATACGTCCCCCAGCAATCCCGTTTAAAATCTGATTCGTTAATCCTACTAAAATTTTCAGCTTCCCCGGAGGATCTAAGTGTTCTAACATAAAATCGTAAATCATTCTTCGTTTTGCTTGATTGATTTGACCGGGTAAGGTTAAAGCTTCCATTTCTTCTTTCCGCATCTTTCTATCATAGTATTTTTTGTCTATTTCGTAATTGTTATAATGAAAAAGGCTTTCTAAAAACTGCTGTGAAATTAGAGTTTTATTTTTCATTAACAACCTCTCTCTAATGAGAAAAACAGTCATTTCTCTGATGGTTTCATCAGAATCGGAAAGCATGGTTAGAATGTGAAAGAAAAAGATACCTTTAACTTTGATAAAATCTTCGACAAGCAACTGAATAAATATTACAACTATCGCTTCTCTTACAGCAGTATTCTCACCTTTCATACATATACACATGTCAGGTAAATGAGGCTCAACTAGAGCAGTAAATCTCATACAAACATCAGCAAGAGCTTTTGCAGCATTAACTCTTACTGCCGCATCAGCTTCAACATTCGAAGAATCTACTCCAGCACTCAACAATTGCCCAAAAATTGGAGTCATTTCATAGGCGATAGTTTGCTCTCTCATTGCTTGCTGACCTAAAGCAACAACTGTTAATGCTTGGAGTTCTCGAACATTTTTAAGTGATGAAGGCATCATTTCCCAATCTATCAACATTCCTTGAAGTATTCTTAATACAGGAAGTTTGATATTACTCGTACATAAAAATGAAGCATGACCTAACGTACAAATAGCTTTCAAATAGTTTGTTATATCTTCTTGAGTATGCTCTACATCCAAAATTATTCGTTCTATCACTTTCTCTGATTGTCTGATTAGGTCGTGCATACTTTTTTCAATTTTCTTGGGCTCTGAAGGGTTTAAGTTCTTTAAAATATCATAAAGAATATCGAGTGAAATGCTAATAAGCTCCGGATTTATTAAAGATTTTTGAAAGAGTTGTAATAAATCCTCTGAAAGCTTCTGAAGAAATTTGTTGTCAAATGTTGACCAACAACATCGTAAGACTTCTAAGGCAAGATATTCAAAAAAACCCTTACCTCTGAAGAGACTTTCATAATCTTCAAAGTATTCTTTCATGCTTGGTAATGTTTTATTCTCAACAATTGCTGATAAGAGAACCCAAGCAGGAATGTTATTTTTAGAATGAATGTGCGATTGAATTTTTAATATTAATGAGTCTGTTATAATATCGTTTTTTACCCAAGAATCACAGGCGCGTGTCAAATGTTTTCTCATTTTCCTTTGTGTCAATTCATTTAAAATTTTCCAAGGGAGATCATCATCTTTTGTTGTAGAATTTGAAATTCTGTCGATTATCATACTTTCCATAGATTCCATCACTTTTTCTTGCACTCTGTTTTCAACATCAAAAATTTGAGGCATTACAGCTTTCACCCAAGTTTTGTATAGATTAGAATCGTTAGAGAATGCTCCTAAAAGCATTGTCAATACTTGAATAGAAAATCGTCGTACTATCATTACAGGATCACGACAATGATTACTGATTATTTCAGATACACTTTCTAGTAGATCTGGAACCATTAATACTCCATTTCGTAAGATGTGAATTGCTCTGGTTCGTAAAACAGCACGATCATCTTCTACACGAGTTCTAAGCATTCCAATAAGAGTATCACGATTTGGAAATAAATTAATATCTTTGTCAAAAGCATTTTGAATATCTTCTAACGATGGTAATATATCGATATCGTTAGACTCTTTAAATAAGTCAACAACAAGAGCATTCTGACTATCATCAGTGTAGTCTGCTAGTGTCTGCATTGCTCTTCCTCGTACCATAGGTGACACATCAGTACATCGACTTAGAACCGTTGCTAGAAGAATCCTTTTAATATTCATGTCAGATAAAATATCATCAGAAATTTGGTTTTGCTCTAAAAAATCATTTGGAGATTCTAATAATTTTGCAATGATTTCCTGAGAAAATACTCTGCAGACGATCTTATTATTGTAAGAATATAGTACGACATTTTTAATTGTTTTAATATAAAGTGATCTTGGACAAATATTTATCAGTTTTGCAATGACAGAAGCTTGCTTTTGTCTTGCATCCAGTCTTTCAGGACAATTTATCATTAAATGTTGAATTAAAATTATGATTCCTTGTTCAGCATTTTTCTGATGAGTAGTGAGTAAAGTTTTCAAAAAATTTATTGATGTATCTCTGAGGATATTTAATGATTTTGATGAAATACTCACATAATTATAAAGCATATGAGGTAGGATGTATCTTGCAATTAATTTTATAGTTACATCAACATGACCGTGTCTAGGATTGCATAACTTTCTAAGTGCTACGTATGAATTATAAACTAAGGAATTTACAGATCTTTCTGAATGATGCATTTGTGATTTGAAATCCAAAATATCGGTTCCAAGTTTTGTTACTTCAATTAGAAGATGAACCGTTAATTCTAAAGATCGAACATAATCTCTCATAGACCAGGAATCTAACATCAAAATCATATTATAGATTATAGTATTAAGGCCGTGTGTTAAAGTAATCCTTTCAGTTTGGAGTAAAGTACTTGATTCTTCTTCTCTTAGATATAAACTTTCATAATCTTGACTTTTTACAGGTTTTTTCGTCACAGGCATTAAATGTTTTGACAGTTCTAAAGATCTTATAACCGTTTCGTACAAATTTTCATGAAAAATCTGATAAGCACTACTTCCGGGAATAGCTAACAGAGTTAGATATAAACTTGTTGCAAGAAGACAGGCTTGTCGTGAATCTTCATCAGCATCGAGACTTTGTCCACTTTTTATTATAAAGCCTAATAAGGCTAATAGTGCCTTTTGATCAACACTTAAAGCACATAAAGTTTGCCAAGAAACTTCTGACCTTTCGTTTGGTTCAATATTTTTATTTAAATCTATCCAACTTTTAACAGTGGTACATGTTTCTTTTAATAAAACTTCCATATCCTCACTTTTAATAAAAAGAAGAAAGTCACCAGGAATTTTTTCATCATAAAATAAAAATTCTTGATCCCACATTGATTTAACCCAACTTTTATCTAGCTGGTCTAATTGAAATTTTTCAAAAATCCTTAATGGCTCCATTTCACAATTTTTTAAAGTACACTAATATTTTGGAGTTTTTGTATGCTGCTTTCAATGTTTTGGTAAACATAACCTTCTCGTTGAATTAATAATCTAAGAATGCTTCTTTCTTCAATAGATAACACAGAAAAAATCTGATGAATGGAAAAAGTAAAATTAAATTTTGAAAAAAAATGTAATATGAAAATTGTGATTGTATGAAATCATTGAATAATAATAACTGTTTACTTACAGAAATGGGCAAAGAAATCCCGCGCGTTGATGAAATTACACTGGAGAGTGCGAGAGACGGTCCCGCTCATGCGCGGATTAAGTTTTTACAATATGCGACGATGCTTAAAATGTTCTCAGACATTATGCATGAATACAATGATTCACTTATGCGATATCATGAAAAATGTTCATCACTTTTACATCAACAAAGAATTTTACGTAGGTTTTATATCAACAAAGACTTATTTATTAAATGATATAAATAGTTTTTTAGTGTGAATTTCACATGTTCAATTGCAGTTGAATATGGTAAAATTCACCCTTATAAAACGTATATATTAAATTAATGAAAATTTTTTAAATTATTTTTATATTTATTTTTGATTTTCAGTTAGAAAAGAAACTGCCAGTCAAATATTTTACGATGATGATGATGAAGAGTACGATCAAAAGAAAAGTCTTTTTGTAGATAATGAAAGTATCAAATTTATATTAAAATAAATAAATTTTGAACTAAGAGAGAAATAAATAATTAATATTTATGTTTAGATCTTGGAAGACAGTAAATTAGCGAAGCTTCAACTTTCAGAAATCAAACAAAGGCACAATGAATTGATAAAATTAGAGAAATCACTCAAAGAAATAAAGGACATGTTTTTGGAAATGGCTTTTCTTATTGAAAAGCAGGTAATAATCCAATGTTGATTTATTCAAGTATATTAAATTTAAATAGTAAAATCTGACAATAATTATTTTTTTAAGGGTGAGCAACTAAATTGCGTTGAATATTTTGCGGGAAAGGCATCAGATAATGTTGAAGAAGGTCGCTGTGATCTTTCCCGAGCGGAAAAAAGACGGCACAGAAATCGTAAGGTAATATTTATGAAATTATACTATCAAAAACAAATAATTTAAAAAATAATTCTTATTACCTTCTTTCTAGAGAAAAACTAAACTTATCATCATACTCAGTATAATAATTTTAATTCTCTTATTAATAGCAATTTTCTTCTAAACTTTGTCATATATTGTAGTTTTGTTTATAAATTTACCATATATAAAGATATAAAAAATGAAAAAATATTTTTTTAATATGTAAATATATATGTTGTTCATGATTTCACTTTTTTGTTGTTGCTTTTGATTTACTTTCGGATTGTAAAATGTAATTTTTAAAATACATTACTACTCCTTTTGCACTGGGCCTTGTTGTTTGGTCTTGATCCGTACATAATATAAATATTTGGAGCACGTCATCGTATTCTGGACCTATTTCTATTGCTGGAAGCGCCGGTCGAGTTCCTATAAGTTAATTCCATCAGTAAATAAAATCCAATAAATTTTTATATGTGTTTATAACTATTTTCAAATATCAATAAAACTACTTTGAATAAAAAATAAAAATAAAAAAACTTTACCTAATTTATTATTAGAAGGAAAAATATCACTATCATTCATTGATGAAATGTTAAAATTTTTATCATCTTTCATAGAAGTGTCCATATCTATTATTGATTGATCGAGATCAGACTCATCTAGATTTTCGTCATGGTCAACATGCGGAGGAGACAGTGCTATCATTTCCCAAATAATCAATCCGTATGCCCACATATCAGTTTTATTTGTGATTGGTCCTTCTTCTAAGTTTACAAAAGTAAAAATATATATTTGAAAAAAGCATGCCATAAATGTACAATTATACCTTTAAAAACACATATGAAAATACCTGATATGACTTCTGGCGCATTCCAAACTTCAGTTCCAGTATAATAATAGCCTTCTTTCATTATGAGATCTTCAGTTACAGGAACTGCAACTCCGAAGTCACACAATTTTACTATTTTCATGTTTTTGGAGATTAAAATATTATAGCTTTTGAGATCACCATGAAGAATGTTACATGTATGATGAAGATATTCTAGACCTTTTGCTATTTCGTAACTGACATGTTCAATATCTTTTGCTTTAAATGGATCCTCTCCCATTTCTACTCTTTCTTCAATCAGATCACCTGTACATCAAAAGTTGTTATTGCATGGAGCATAAGAGTTTTACATTAAATTAGATTAAGTCCTTTTTTTAATTAAAGAATATTTTCATAACGATTAGTTTAATAAGAACATGACTTTATGAGATAAATTATGTTGATGCTAATGATATAACTAAACCACTGTTGTTCTTTGTTGTGATGACATTAAAGTTCAATCAATGATTACTTTATATATTTTTTAATAATATCAAATTTAAAGAATTCAATATAAACAAACTTAATATTTTTTTCATAAGAATATATTCTTTTTATACCTAATGATTGGTCTAATTGTTCCATAGCTAAACAGGGAGCACCAGTTTTTGACAATGTTAAAGCACGAAAGCCAATAATATTTGGATGATTCAAAGCTTTAAGAATGTCTGCTTCAAGTTTGATTCGTTTATCCAGATTAACATCTTTGATATCTTTACTGTTACGTTTTTTAATCGCCCATGGTGATCTTGCAAATCCTACTTTAGGTGATCTTTCAAGAGTGAATACATTAACTCCTGTGTAAAAATAAATTTAAATAAATTAATCATTATTATGTGAAGTATTATTCACATTTATAATAATTATAAAGTGAAAATAGTTAACAAAGCTACATTTATATCACAACAATAAGACTCACCACATCCGTAACCTATTTGCTTTAAATACGGTGTAGCAGGTATTTTTAAAGGACTTTGATTCTCTGGATTATTACAAAGCCTGCTTTTGATTTTTTGTAATGGAGGAGTTAAATATTCTGCCATCGTTTACGGTGAAAAATTGTTTAAAAAATTAAACCACAAAACAATAGGACTGTTTATTTCCGTTATAAATTTTTAAAAGTATCAAAACACACACAAGATGCTTCAGTGTTGCCAACTCGATTTTTATTTGTAACAAAAGTTTTTTTTTAACGGTCGATAATTTATCGATATATCTACACATACAGATGGCGATAAAAGTCAAATATTTTTTTACTCGCACTTCAAATTGCAATTAGTTTCCAAATTCATGAAAATTATTAAGTTTTTTCAATTACAATTTTAACTTCAATTTATCTTGAATCAATATACATTCATCGATTAGTTACAGTCTAGAATATTTATTACATTTTTTTCAAAGTTATCTATGGATATGTGCGGTTAGTTAAGATTCCGAAGTTTCTAAAACGTCCCCTAAAAGTGTTTTTGGACCTACCGATAAAAAGTTATAAAGGCCCAAAGTCTTGCCGGTTTTTAATGGTGTAAAAATAAATTTCCGTAACGGATAACCAGCTTCCGTATTTTTAAGCATCAAAACGTACAGAATGAGCCCTCGATCATTAAGATCAGAGAAATTTGTCTTTTGACCTCAAAAAATAGCATGTAATTGTGTTTATGCTCAAATCATAAAATTATGACACTCGTTAGGGAGATCTTAATAAGACAATTCCAAAATAGTAGCTATTGACTTTGTTTGGTCAAAGTAATCGCGAGATATTTGTGAGAAACTACTAAACATAAAAATATGCATAACTTCTATGTTAATGAGTTATGAGCGTTTAAAGGTTTTTCTATGATCCACCGCAGCATAGCTTCGTTTTTCGCCAATAACTCACGATCTATGAGAGGTACATGGACAGCAAGCATATCAATAGATTCCTTAAAGCAAGAGCTTTCCAATGCAATTGTCAAAGTTATGATCCGAGCATAATTCATCCCAAAATTATAGCCATTTCCGGTTTCACCTCCATTTTTGGTTCTAAAGTCGTTGGAATAAATTGTTATTTAAGGTCAAATTTGGAACACCGAAACGTACAGAATAACTACCAATCAACAAAATCGGAAAATTTTCTTCTCTAACCTCAAAAATAGAAAAAAATCGTATTTATGCTTGGATCAGAAAATTGAGGATGTCATTACAAAGAGGGGGAGGAGACGGTTTCCAAACACTGGCTATCGACTATATTTAGTTGAATAGATATAAAGATATTCTTGAAAAACGGCAAAACATAAAAATATGCATAACTTCTATGTTAATGATGCTACGGGGTTGATCGAGGGCTCATATGGAAGAACTGGACCTAAGTGAGAAATTCGGTCCCCCCTATAGGATATCCCCGTCAAAAATGCCGTATCTCGCTTAGTTTTCGAGTTATGAGCGTTTAAAGGTTTTTCTATGATTCACCGCAGCATAGCTTCGTTTTTCGGCGATAACTCGCGATCTATGAAAGGTACATGGACAGCAAGCGTATCAATAGATTCCTTAAAGCAAGAGCTTTCCAATGCAATTGTCAAAGTTATGATCCGAGCATAATTCATCCCAAAATTATAGCCATTTCCGGTTTCACCTCCATTTTTGGTTCTAAAGTCGTTGGAATAAATTGTTATTTAAGGTCAAATTTCGGAACACCGAAACGTACAGAATAACTACCAATCAACAAAATCGGAAAATTTTCTTCTCTAACCTCAAAAATAGAAAAAAATCGTATTTATGCTTGGATCAGAAAATTGAGGATGTCATTACAAAGAGGGGGAGGAGACGGTTTCCAAACACTGGCTATCGACTATATTTAGTTGAATAGATCAAAAGATATTCTTGAAAAACGGCAAAACATAAAAATATGCATAACTTCTATGTTAATGATGCTACGGGGTTGATCGAGGGCTCATATGGAAGAACTCGACCTAAGTGAGAAATTCGGTCCCCCCTATAGGATATCCCCGTCAAAAATGCCGTATCTCGCTTAGTTTTCGAGTTATGAGCGTTTAAAGGTTTTTCTATGATTCACCGCAGCATAGCTTCGTTTTTCGGCGATAACTCGCGATCTATGAAAGGTACATGGACAGCAAGCGTATCAATAGATTCCTTAAAGCAAGAGCTTTCCAATGCAATTGTCAAAATTATGATCCGAGCATAATTCATCCCAAAATTATAGCCATTTCCGGTTTCACCTCCATTTTTGGTTCTAAAGTCGTTGGAATAAATTGTTATTTAAGGTCAAATTTTGGAACACCGAAACGTACAGAATAACCCTCAATCAACAAAATCGGAAAATTTTCTTCTCTAACCTCAAAAATAGAAAAAAATCGTATTTATGCTTGGATCAGAAAATTGAGGATGTCATTGGAAAGAGGGGGAGGAGACGGTTTCCAAACACTGGCTATCGACTATATTTAGTTGAATAGATCAAAAGATATTCTTGAAAAACGGCAAAACATAAAAATATGCATAACTTCTATGTTAATGATGCTACGGGGTTGATCGAGGGCTCATATGGAAGAACTCGACCTAAGTGAGAAATTCGGTCCCCCCTATAGGATATCCCCGTCAAAAATGCCGTATCTCGCTTAGTTTTCGAGTTATGAGCGTTTAAAGGTTTTTCTATGATTCACCGCAGCATAGCTTCGTTTTTCGGCGATAACTCGCGATCTATGAAAGGTACATGGACAGCAAGCGTATCAATAGATTCCTTAAAGCAAGAGCTTTCCAATGCAATTGTCAAAATTATGATCCGAGCATAATTCATCCCAAAATTATAGCCATTTCCGGTTTCACCTCCATTTTTGGTTCTAAAGTCGTTGGAATAAATTGTTATTTAAGGTCAAATTTTGGAACACCGAAACGTACAGAATAACTACCAATCAACAAAATCGGAAAATTTTCTTCTCTAACCTCAAAAATAGAAAAAAATCGTATTTATGCTTGGATCAGAAAATTGAGGATGTCATTACAAAGAGGGGGAGGAGACGGTTTCCAAACACTGGCTATCGACTATATTTAGTTGAATAGATCAAAAGATATTCTTGAAAAACGGCAAAACATAAAAATATGCATAACTTCTATGTTAATGATGCTACGGGGTTGATCGAGGGCTCATATGGAAGAACTCGACCTAAGTGAGAAATTCGGTCCCCCCTATAGGATATCCCCGTCAAAAATGCCGTATCTCGCTTAGTTTTCGAGTTATGAGCGTTTAAAGGTTTTTCTATGATTCACCGCAGCATAGCTTCGTTTTTCGGCGATAACTCGCGATCTATGAAAGGTACATGGACAGCAAGCGTATCAATAGATTCCTTAAAGCAAGAGCTTTCCAATGCAATTGTCAAAATTATGATCCGAGCATAATTCATCCCAAAATTATAGCCATTTCCGGTTTCACCTCCATTTTTGGTTCTAAAGTCGTTGGAATAAATTGTTATTTAAGGTCAAATTTTGGAACACCGAAACGTACAGAATAACTACCAATCAACAAAATCGGAAAATTTTTTTCTCTAACCTCAAAAATAGAAAAAAAATCGTATTTATGCTTGGATCAGAAAATTGAGGATGTCATTACAAAGAGGGGGAGGAGACGGTTTCCAAACACTGGCTATCGACTATATTTAGTTGAATAGATCAAAAGATATTCTTGAAAAACGGCAAAACATAAAAATATGCATAACTTCTATGTTAATGATGCTACGGGGTTGATCGAGGGCTCATATGGAAGAACTCGACCTAAGTGAGAAATTCGGTCCCCCCTATAGGATATCCCCGTCAAAAATGCCGTATCTCGCTTAGTTTTCGAGTTATGAGCGTTTAAAGGTTTTTCTATGATTCACCGCAGCATAGCTTCGTTTTTCGGCGATAACTCGCGATCTATGAAAGGTACATGGACAGCAAGCATATCAATAGATTCCTTAAAGCAAGAGCTTTCCAATGCAATTGTCAAAATTATGATCCGAGCATAATTCATCCCAAAATTATAGCCATTTCCGGTTTCACCTCCATTTTTGGTTCTAAAGTCGTTGGAATAAATTGTTATTTAAGGTCAAATTTCGGAACACCGAAACGTACAGAATAACCCTCAATCAACAAAATCGGAAAATTTTCTTCTCTAACCTCAAAAATAGAAAAAAAATCGTATTTATGCTTGGATCAGAAAATTGAGGATGTCATTGGAAAGAGGGGGAGGAGACGGTTTCCAAACACTGGCTATCGACTATATTTAGTTGAATAGATCAAAAGATATTCTTGAAAAACGGCAAAACATAAAAATATGCATAACTTCTATGTTAATGATGCTACGGGGTTGATCGAGGGCTCATATGGAAGATCTGGACCTAAGTGAGAAATTCGATCCCCCCTATAGGATATCCCCGTCAAAAATGCCGTATCTCGCTTAGTTTTCGAGTTATGAGCGTTTAAAGGTTTTTCTATGATTCACCGCAGCATAGCTTCGTTTTTCGGCGATAACTCGCGATCTATGAAAGGTACATGGACAGCAAGCGTATCAATAGATTCCTTAAAGCAAGAGCTTTCCAATGCAATTGTCAAAATTATGATCCGAGCATAATTCATCCCAAAATTATAGCCATTTCCGGTTTCACCTCCATTTTTGGTTCTAAAGTCGTTGGAATAAATTGTTATTTAAGGTCAAATTTTGGAACACCGAAACGTACAGAATAACTACCAATCAACAAAATCGGAAAATTTTTTTCTCTAACCTCAAAAATAGAAAAAAATCGTATTTATGCTTGGATCAGAAAATTGAGGATGTCATTACAAAGAGGGGGAGGAGACGGTTTCCAAACACTGGCTATCGACTATATTTAGTTGAATAGATCAAAAGATATTCTTGAAAAACGGCAAAACATAAAAATATGCATAACTTCTATGTTAATGATGCTACGGGGTTGATCGAGGGCTCATATGGAAGAACTCGACCTAAGTGAGAAATTCGGTCCCCCCTATAGGATATCCCCGTCAAAAATGCCGTATCTCGCTTAGTTTTCGAGTTATGAGCGTTTAAAGGTTTTTCTATGATCTACCGCAGCATAGCTTCGTTTTTCGCCAATAACTCACGATCTATGAGAGGTACATGGACCGCAAGCATATCAATAGACTCCTTAAAGCAAGAGCTTTCCAATGCAATTGTCAAAGTTATGATCCGAGCATAATTCATCCCAAAATTATAGCCATCTCCGAATTCACCTTTATTTCTGGTTTAAGGTCGTTTGAATGAATTGTTTTCTCTTATGTTAAGTTTTAAGAAATTTATTTACCGGTGTTGCTAACTTTCTTCCCCTTTTCAAACGCATCCCTCAAAATTATTGTGTTTTAAAAGATTCTCCTGTTACCCACTCAATTTAATTTGACATCGAGCTTCGCTCTTCTACCGCCCAACACGAGGGCGTCAAGTCAACTTCAGAATTTTTTCCGAGTTGAGCCCACCCTTAATTCTCGATTGATACGTTCAAAAATGGCGACGCCTTCGCGAGTTGTTCGTCAAGTAAAGCCACTTTTGTCATATTCTCGAGAAGAAGCTCATCGAAGAGTTATAACTTTATATAAAGCATGGTATCGTCAAGTTCCTTATATTAGTGAGTATTATCAAACCCACAAAACAAAATTTCAAACAATAACTAAGCTCAAACATTGTACTATAACCTTCAATTATAAGCTTTTTTCATTCAATATTATGTTTATTTTTAGTTAGATTATATAAATTCTTTCTTTTTAATTCTTGATAACACATTTTTCAATATATTTCATTGTTAATATGATTTAAATAAAATCAATTCTCAAGGAATTTGTTGAATTTTTTTTTAGTGTTTGAATTTGATATCCCATTAACTGAAGAACAAGTTAAAGCAAAAATCAGAGAGGAATTTTATAAACATGCCAATGTTTCTGATATTCGTGCTATTGATATGCTAGTTATAAAGGTAAATAATTATTATATTATTCGCAAATAGTCTCCAATACATATCTATTGAAATAAATATTATTTGAATATTCTGATGTTCTACTACAGTCTACAATTACATTGTGATCAACAATTTCTGAATAATCTGATAAATTTTAGGGTCAAATGGAGTTAAAAGAAACGGCTGAAAAATGGAAAAACAAAGGATGTTTAATGAATTATTTTAAAGAAACCGTCGAGAAAAAACCAACAGATTTTTTATCGAAATTCATTTCTGGCCAAGAATAATTCGTTCTGGATTTTTGCTAGTCGTGTAAATTATAAAGCTATCAATATTTATGATTTATTCAGTAATCAAGATATTGTTTATAAATAATGTAAAAATAGTTATAAACTATCAATAATAAAACGTTAATTGTATATAAAGTTTAGATAGAATTAATAATTTATATATAAAAAAAATAAAGAAAAATGAAGTTAATAGATAAATGATTGTTTGATCAAACAGTAATTGAAAAATCAAAATATGGCAGATATTTTTTTGATTGAATCATCTGGAATGAGTTGAGAATATTTTATAATTAAATACACGAAATTAGGGTAAATTGGTTTTTATTACAAGAAGAATATCAATAAATCGTTGTATTCATATTTATGCACTATTACAAGAGATAACCGTCATTTTTATATTCCTCATAAATTTACACAATTATTTTACATTGATATATTATTATCATTATAACTACTTTTTATTTATTATTATTATTACTATTATTATTAATAATGTGGCTACTTATCATTATTATTACTTTTAATATTATTATTAATTGTATATTTAGTTAATAATTATTCATTTTTTCATTATTATTTATCAGTTATATACATTTGACATCATTGATATATTACTAAGCACCTTAGGTACAATCTAGTTCACTTTTCACAGCCATACGGATAATTTGCTTTCCTTCAGTGAACAAAAAAAAATATATATATTCATGTATATATATATATATAGTTATATCTATATATTTATAATATTTTTTGCATATATACTTATCTAAATATTAAAAGTAATCGATTATACAATGATGATTCTTTTTTATCATTCATTTAGCAACATTATATTCATATAAACAGAAAGAATATCTTTAACATTCATTCTCTCTTACTTCCATACTCTCGTTTGTCCATTTTTACTTTGGTTGTGACGAAACAACATCCGTCAGACAAATTAAAAAACTTATCGCACTCGCGTGTCACGAGAAAATAAAAAAAATATACAATAAAATAAAATAATTACTTTCAAACTATTTCTTTTTCTTTCCAGTACAAATTACAAAATATTTAAAAAATATACACTTTTCGGTAACTTTCATACACATTGCACGTACTTAAATCCTAACGAGTTTAATTTATCATAAAAATGAAAAAAAAAAGGTTTAAATGGCAACAAAGCTATTAATTACTTTATCAATCAATTGATCAATTAAATAATTAATTTATCATTTGTGGGATTTTTACATCGTTAATATTTTTATTAAACTGCTATTTTTTTTAAATAAATTGACATAAGAGTATTTGAATGGCAACAAAATATATTGATTATTTAATTGGCTTGTAATTAAACTATTTCTATGTATAACCCTTATCTTTTAAACTTTAACAACGTACAAAGTTCAGTATATATGTAATAAAACTGATCAATAAATTGATTAATTAAGTAATTACTTATCATTTAGTTTGATTACATCGCCAAAATTTCTAGTCTCATTTTTATTCTAACAATCTTTTAGAAAAGTCTAAATAAATTATGTTTTCATACATCAATCAGTAAATATTAATATGAAATTATTGATTTTTAATTGGCAAATATAAAAAATAATAATTTCGCATGACTATAAAAGTACTAATCAACTGATTGACTTAAAATTTGTTTTTCTAACACGATGAAAATAATCATTAATAACAAGTATTTTTTAAATTTATTTACACAATGCTCTCACGCTCTGATTGAATATCATAGCCAGTAATAACTCCTCGCCTTAAAGAAACATCGCTGTTTCTCAAGCCATTACCATTAAATAAATTCATAAGCCAACTCCTGATTGAATTTCTTGCTGATGATTTTTTATCAGGAACTGTATCATTCGGAGGAGTTGGCACTACTTGATCTAACGATCTCCATCTTTTTACAGGTACTACATCACCTGCACAAACAGTTTCTTCACCAAGAAGGGGTTCTTCAGCCTCTTCATTAACTGAATTGTCATTTGTACCCGGTACAAGAATAATATTTCCATTAGGATAATTGTTATTTAAAAGTTTTTCTGTTAATTGATCTTTCGAAAGATTTCTGAAATATTTGTCACAGTTTTCTAAAGATCTAAATATTTTTCGCATTTCTTTACAAGTTAACATTTGCGGTGAATCTCTTCGTCCAAACTCTAAAGGAAAAGGGTCCAAAGATCGTGACTCCCGAATCATCGTTTGAGATGGATAATCACTTGTTGTTGAAGATGAAGCTATGGTTGACAAAACTCTTGTGTTCTTCTCACTTTTCCCACCAGGCTCAAGAAATAAATCATCAAGTGCAAGTTTTATATTTGCAGCACGACACTCGGCTCTTTCGCGCACTGTTTCATTATCTAAAGTATTTCGGGAAATGCTGTCCATTAGAAAAGGTGGAGATCGTTCATATTTCCCACGTCTTACCGGTCGTGGAAGCGGGCTAGAATTTCCACATTGTGATATGGAATCTTCAGCTGTAGGTCTAGGGACACTTGATTGTCTTCTACTTCCTGCACCAAGTCCACCTAGTAGAGAAGCTTGTCGCGAGTCTGGATTCAATTTTGGACTTCTTCGTGGTCGACAGAATAGCGGTGGAAGATCGTTGATATCAACCTTTTAATTTTAAAAACATTTAATTAATTCCTCGATTAAATGACAAATTGTAAATTTACATTTGCCTCAAGTATTTAAAATCAAATCTATCATCAGAAAATAAATACACACCTCTCGTTTTTGTATTGCTCTTTCATTAGCGTCAACGAGCCAATAAGTCTTGACCTCTCCTTTGCCTTTCATATGTACCATGCCACGTTCTTCAGTAACATATCCGCCAATTTTATCCAAAGCTTCTTTACATTGAGCACTTATATGAATCCTTAGTGGTTCTCCAGTTGATTCCATTCTCGAAGCTGTGTTAACTGTATCTCCGAAGAGACAATAACGTGGCATTGTTAATCCTACTACCCCTGCTACTACAGGACCTGTACAATGTCAATTGTAATAATTACTAACAATTAATGGACTTAATAATATTTTTGTATGTAAGGAACTAAACGAAACAAAATCAATTCAAATTAGTGATTGATTGAAATTCTATAAAAATTTAACAACAACGTAAATTCTAATTATATTAAGTAAGTTTTCAAATCATTGAAGAGCTTAATGTATCGTACCTGTATGAATTCCTATTCGTAATTTCAAAGTATCATTAGGCCTATGGGCAATAGTATGTTGCTTTACTGCATTAAGCAGTTCTAAAGACATTGAAGCAATTTCCCCAGCATGCCTATTCCCATTCTTTATCGGAAGTCCAGATACCTGAGGCAAAGAATAAATTTTCAGATTGAGATTGAACACACGTGATATTTGAATTGAAAAATTTAAGAATGATGAGTTTACTTACCACCATGTATGCATCACCAATAGTTTCTACTTTATAAACGTCATAGCCTTTTATGATACGATCGAAAAGAGTGTATAAATCGTTAAGAAAGTTAACGACCTGTAAAAAAAGCATATTATGAAATCATTTGTTATGATAGTAATTACAGTTTTATCAGTAAGTGAAGTCTTGGACTTTAAATTATACAAATTCCCCATTTGAAATACCTGAAAGGGTGTACTCTCTGCTGACATTGCTGTAAATCCTACGATATCACTAAAATATATCGTAACATAATCAAACGCTTCCGGTTCCACACCAATTCCATTTGTTAAACAATTAGCTACGGGTCTGTAAAAATAAATGTAATACAGTTTTAATTGTGTTCATTAAATTGTTAATTAAAACCTTGTAAAAATAACTATTTTTCATTTCATATTAATAGTTTATATCAATTTTTCTCAGATTTAATTATAACTATTTATTCAATTTATAAAGATTAATATTAGTGACTTGTCAAATGATTATTTGATTAGTATACAATATATAGAACTTTAATTGAATTTATTTTTTCATTCTATCACTTGATTTATTTATTCACCCGGTCTTTATTTTATTTTTTATTTTTATTTATTGTTTTTAAAAAACTAACAACTAGTTCAATTGAGTTGATTAATTGATTTTTTCAATATTTAAATTCTAATTATTCTATTTTATAAATGAACGTGTAGACTATTTCAGCATTTCTGCGAGATTCCTTTAATTTTTTGAAGAAGTCAGAAAATAAATATAAACATAACGCTGTTACGTACTCAGGCAACATTCTATGCAGTAAATCTTCTGTCTTCTGTTTCTCCTCGAAGAGAAGGCGCGTGCGCTCACTGACTAGATCTTCGAGGTTGTTTGCATATTTTTCCATCATGTCCATCATCTGATCCATAATATTACGATGTCTGCCAGCCTTCATCTTCTTCAGTCGTGTCCGGATCGTTTTAAAGTCAGGTCTCAATTCCGGACTTTCTGCCCAACATTCAGTTATTGTGTTTACAATGTAGTCAGCACAATCTGCTTCAGATTCTGATAAAATATCTATGTTGGGTCTAAATGGTGGCTCACCATCTTCCGGATATTTCTTTACTCTGTCTATAATTTCTGTAACCATAAAAACATTTTTTCCAAGTTTAAATACCGTTATTAGCTGCAGAAATTTTAATAACTTAATGAAAAATAATTGACAAAGTATTTTTATGAGTAAGAGTGATTTAAATACCTTTGGGTTCTAAATTTACTCCTCCATAGGGACCTTTCCGTCCGATCATTTCGAACAGAATTATGGCAAATGAATAAATGTCTCCTTCTTGCGTACCTCTGATAGGGGCATTTGGATCTCGAAGTAATTCTGGCGCTTTCCAAAACAAATCTAGAATTTTTAATGAAATTATTTTTGTTTTGTTTCTTACAAATTCATATTCCATTCATTGGGATAATTTGGTTCAATAATCAATTAAATAATTGATATAAAAAATAAATTGATTAAGAAGAATACAAAGTATTTACTTCGATAATACTGATGTTCACCGATACTATCGGACTCGGCACAATGCCTCATGTCATGAAGACCAAAATCTGAGACTTGGAGAACCCATCGGGAAGTCACGACGCAGTTGGAAGACTTCAAATTACCATGACAGACTAGCACGGACGACTCATGAATGTATAGCATACCCTATCGATATAATGATTTATTTCCAATTGGTAATTATTTAAATGTACATATAAGCATTGTTAAAAATTATTTAATCAATATTTAACATTATTTAAATTTACCATAAATACTTTTTATGTATTATCATTAGCAACTTTTTAAATACTACATTGGTAGGAGTTTAAAGTATAAAAATCAACGCTTTAGCAATATAATTTTGTGATTAATCTTGAAGATAATTTAAATATTGATTTATTCATTCTTGATATACGTGTTTTATAATTTACCTTAATGAGATCATGTACTAATGATGCAATGAACATATCGTCTAATTTTATATCTTCATTTTCAATGATATCCTAGAAACATTATAATTTAAATTAATAATATATTCATGATAAAAAGCATTATTTATAGAATAAAAAAATCCTTTAAACTCACGTAAAGACTTCCTTTGGCACAATAATCGGTAATTAATAATATTCTCATTGGCTCAACAACTGCACCAATAAATGAATTGAGATTTCCGTGTCGAATTTCACGTAACACACGCATCTCTTTCATTACATCCCGCGAGATATCCTTTTTCTTTGAGAATTTAAGCTCTTTTATTCGCACAACTACTCCATGATAATGCCCAGTTTGTGCAAACACTTGGCCTCCACATCTCGATTCATAAGACATTGCACTAACTAAACTTAACTGTAATTTGCAAAAAAAAAAAAATTATAAAATTTTCGTTACAACTCTTTTTTAATTTTATTTGTTCAAATTTATGTAATAAAATTTTTTTTCAATTATTTATGTTCAAGGTTATCTCAATAGTAGTATGATTTTTAAAACCCCATCGTCTTTTATAATGAGATACTTTTATTAATGATGATGATGATGATTGTATGATAATAGAAAAAACAAGCTTATAAGATAGCATCAAGATTATCACTATTTAAACAAAGTCATTTCTATCATTTATTACATATTTAACGTTTACAATTAATTGGTACCATAAAGTTTTATATTTACCCTGACGTTTGAGTAAATTTAAATCAATTCTTCAACTTTTGGTGACGATTTATTAAAAATATTTGATAAATTATCGAAATTTTAATTCTTTTAAATAATCTTATTTTTTCCTTATTAAATTGTTGGCAATGGAACTATTTTTATGCTTATTATTAACTTTATTATATTATAAATAAAATTTCCTTTTTAGAATATAAAGTTTTGTCTGACAATGAAATTCCGACAAAAGTTATTTTACTATTGAGATAGCTGTGCGCATTAATAGGTTCAACCTTTTGTAACAAAATTAATTGAAGGAATTGAAAGAAAATTGCCAATAATTAGTTTCTTACAAAAGAGTCATTCATTCCTCTCTATATCAAGACACATTACTTACCTTACTTGGTGAGGACATGAGATTATCGAGATGAGGATAGCCGTGAATATCACTAGGATCAATTTTCCAAAGAAGACCTTCAATCTCTTGTTCAATTTTCCATCGCCTGTAAATGCTGACAGTAATGACGGCAGCACAGAATAAAAGGATCGCTAGCACTGCTGCTGCGACGATACTATGCATGTGGGTGTCATCTTTAGGACAATGTTCATTCAAAAAACCACAGCCTGGCTCTGCTTCAGGTTTATTTTTACCTGGCCATTCCATTGATTCCGATGGTCTGTATACCTGCATTTTTTTATTCATATTTTTCATTGATTTATCAACAGCAACCTCAAATAAATAGCTATATTTTATTAATCAATTAATATTTTTAACTAATTATACCAATTTTTTATCAGTGCAATTATCTTTAAATATTATTATTTTTAAATAGAAACTGGTTTATATTACAATGATACCCGCACGATAATAGTTTAAACAACTCACTCACTAGAACTTCACCACGTTGAAATTGACCAACAGGCTTCATTTGATAGTCACATGAAAAATTGTTGAATTGAAAGAATTCCTTTTTCAAAGCAAGTACAGAAAAGTTGCCTTCAGAGTCACCGTGCTGATCAAGTTTTATTGTCTGACCACTGACGCCTTCAATTGTAAACGTGTTCCTGATATTTATGGTTAAAGGAGAAAGCAAATGATGATTGATATGTAAATAAATAATACTTACTCAGATATGTATGCTTGCGGATAATTGTTTCAATTATTTTTGTTCCATTACTAGCTACTTCTTCAAGTGAATGATCAGGTTGTTCGCGTAATAGTTGATCAAGTGCAGATGCATAAAGCTTTACCGAGTCATAGAGATAGGCCGCATGAATGGAAATGTATTTCTCGAATTTAAGATGAAAAATATCTGGAATAGGGAAGTTGAAAGGCTCCTTGCTGGTATATTCTCGTACTTTTTTCGTGAATTCTTCGTAACTTTGAGCTGGGGGCGTCAAAGCTACGACGAGAAGAGAACGTGCACGTTTCACAAAATCCTTGATCTCGTAACATGACTTCAGGTCGGTTTGTTGTTGCGGTCCTGTAAAATTTGGTTTTTCTTATGAAGTTTCACTGGATGAAATGTTTCTTTCAATTAAAAGATTACAAGAATTAAACTTGATTAATACAAAATAGTTTAAAAAATATTCAATTATTATTTAAAGTTATTAAAAATTGGAAGGAAAATAGCAAGTAATAAAAACTAATCTTACCCCATAAGTACTTCCGTGCTTCTTTCGGCGAATAAGTCATCATGTCGACATGGATCACCATATACTCGCCGTTGTCCAGTAACCGCTGGTTCTGCATCGCGTTCATCATGTCTATGAGCGATATGGCCGTACCCATGAAGACGTAAACTGTTTTAACAATCATTTAACATCATTTAGTAGACAGTTATTTTTTGAATTTTAATTATATTTTTGTCATGAATAATCCAAGTGATCCAACTTCTCGTCATATTCTTCGTCTCCTGAATCAGCTGAAACCAGACTCCTTGACAGCAAGGAAGCTTCTCCTCACAGCATTTGTGCCGGTCATCCACCGTCCTGAAATGATTGATCGTCAGATTGTTCTTCACTGCCTGGTTCTCCAATGATTTTGCCACCGTCGACCATGCGTCCTCCGTGATGATTGAAAATTTTGTCCATCCATAATGCAGAAGAAGAGCAACCACTGATTTTGTTACTTGGGTGTCTGGTGGTTCTGTTCGAGCGAAGGTTGTCACCTTCGAAGCTTTATAATCGCTACATTTCTGCAAATAAAAAAAATCATTTTGTTAATTTATTGTTAATTAAATAAAGTATCAGAAGAATTGAAGTATTTATTCAAAATTTAATTTAATCATCCTTAGATTTCTAAGATTAAGATATTGAATAATTTTCTAGTTTTTATTTTTTTATTGAACATAATTGGATCGTAATAAATGAAATAACGTTCAGAAACTTGTTTCTTTAATTATAGAATTATTTTATTAACTTCTCAGTATGAGGAAGTCTAGGAAAAAACTGAATAATGACTATAGTCCGACTCTAGGAATCGTAAGGTCTCTGGGTTAGTGATGATAAATGAAACTTTCCAATTTTTAATCAACTTCTAGAGTTTTTTCTTCATATATTTTATATTTTAAAATTAAATGAATGTAAATATTCAAAATTATGTTTGTTTAAAACTGAACATAATTTAGAGACAAATGTAAAAATACATTTGTATTTCAAAGTATTTTTCAAATTAAAAATAAATATTACAAATAATAAAAAAATATAAATAATTAGAAGACTTGAAGAGACTGATGATGACAATAATCATCAAAGGGATTTTGCACATTCGTACTTAACGCCAAGTTAAATATAAATCGCACATGAGAACATATAAATGTGACTTCCCACTGGGACTAAGAAAGCTCGTTCGTCCTACTCCGAGAATGTGACGCGTGCCTCATTAACATACAAATTAAAAGCCCAGAAATGCAACTGAAGAAATTCGTACCAAAGGAATATCTATAACTTTGATAAAATGTTCAGCTATATTCTCTACAATAATTGCAATTATTGAAGGAAGAAGACTAATCCATGGATCATAGAATAAAATTGTAAAATGACTCAACTGCTTGAAACACTTCATAAATTAAATATGAATTTTCAATTTATATCTTAGGATTTTCTTGACAATATAAAGTATTTTAGCAACAAAGTCCTTGAAAAAAAAGAGAATAAAAATGATATGTTTAACTTTATACAATAGAATAACTACTTTAAGTTTAATAATGAGTACAGCACAGGATGAATTTGACATTGAGAAATTAAATAAAATATAACATTATATGAAATGGCTAATGTTTAATGAAATAAAATATTTGAAGAGATCTATAGATCATAAGAGAGAATAAAAAAAGAGAATTGCTTCGTCAAAACCCTGGCAATGACAAATTTCTCGAGGTGAGTCAAACAAGTGGAGCAACAAGTTGACCCTGATGAAGTACATTTAAAAATAATTGCACTTCATAGTCCTCGATTTCATATGGATCAAATTCAACATAACTTGTTGCAAACTAAAAATGAACTTGTTTATTTTCAAAGTTTTTCCATCATTTATATGTTGACCGAAACATAAATAAAAAATTCTTTCTTTCATGATATTCATTAAAGAATCACAGCAAATAGAGAAGTAGTCTCGGAAATGAAGAAGGCGTGGTAAGATGCTTTGGTCATTGCCGGCTAGCTGCCTGATGTTATTCCTGGCGGCGGTCGGCTATATTTAGACGAGACCACCTTGAGAGAGTCCGAGAGCTGGTTGTGCAACGACGACGACGTGCTCCAAGCCCACGAGAGAAGGTGGTTGAGGTTTATTGTTCGGGTAGGCCTACTATACCTGTACCAGCTGTACCTATACACCAGCCCACCCGGTCTCGAGACTCATGACAAGAGAATTGAGTCTTGTGGCAAGTGGATGAGTCTTGTGGTCAACAATGCACGCTTACGTGTTGGTAAAAGGGTGTTTTATTGGAGATATATCATAGAATCCGGTCTGTTTTGGATCCCCATAGGCATTCCTACGACTTGCCAGGTCAAGTGTGTCGTATTTTGACTACTAAATCAGGTAATCAAACAGCACAAAACTTATGGTAGTCTCCATGATTTCTATGACCACCTGGGCTATTTTTAAATTTATTTATGTATTCGGCTTCAAAGAACCTCTTATACTTCCAAATATTTTTGTTTGTTTTGAATAAAATCTTTATTATTGAATTTTTTTCATCTGAAATTAAAAATAGATTAAAAGAACTCGTTAAATTATTACGTTTGTTAATGATGATGTATAGAGAAGATACTTGAAATGTATTTTTTGATAACTGACCATTAAATTTGGTTGATTTTTACAGGTTTTTTTGCGGTTTCGCAGGTCAACTGTTTAGTATTTTGATCATTAAATCAAGTAATCAAACAACTTAAAACTCTTATAGTCTTGATCATTTCTATTAAGCCATCTAAGCTATTTTTGGAGTTATTTATTTCTTCATTTTCAAGCTATTGATATATGTACGTAATTATAAATCACATCTTCATAATTGATTTCAATTTCTGCTGAAATTAGCAACAGATGAAAAAACTTATTGGATCATTATGCTGGTTAATGATGATACTCTCAGCACTCACTAGATATTTTGTAGATAATAGACGGTTGAATTCGGTCTGTTTTATATTAGTGTTGATTTTTTTTGTTACTTTTTAGGTTAAGTGTCTAATGTTTTGGTCATTAAATCAGGTAATCAAACAGCCCGAAGCCTTTTGAAACCTTCATGATGATTTCTGTGACCACCTGGACTATTTTTAGACTTATTTATGTACTCTTTAACATCTACAAGCCACTGACATCAGCCAATAGGAATTGGTATTTTTTTTCATGAATTAAACTTCCGTAATGACTTTTTTTTCTTTCATTTCATACTTACTGGATTTAAAAATAGATTGAAAGGTCTTATTGCAGTAGTACGCTTGCTAATCGCAACTTATGTCAGAGAAACCAGCAAGTGAAGAGGTGGAGGAGGAAGAAAAGGTGTGCAATAAGCGAACAACTCTTAGCGTGAGCCACTGCTCGGTTGGTGAACGAGCTAAGCGTTGGAGTGCCGCGCGTGCACGACTCTCGGGGGCTTGCGCCAACATACTCAACGATATCCTGGACACACGCGCGTGTCATGGAGTGAGATAGTACTTGACCAGTGAGGGAAGCGGGAAAAAGAGATGCAAAACACGCACACTCGCAACGGCTTTCATTTATTCGTAAATCAACAGCAAGATGCTATTTATAGACAGCGGACAAATAGCGATAGTCGACGCTTCTGTATCCTTGAATGGTAAAACGCCCGAATAGAATAATGTGACGGTTATTGGAATATGTCGAATTATAGTTACGAAAATGAGATCAATGTATAGTATTATAAATTATTTATCTCTCACTAATCTTTTTTAATCTGTTTTGATAGTTTTTTTATATTGAAATTTTATATTGATGCACTATTATTTTGTAGGTAATTAGTAAATTGTATTATTTTCAGGTTATGTTTTCATTTGTGGATATAAGATAAAAATTGAAAATGACTTGATAAACTGGAAGTGTTTATGTAAAGATGGGAAGTTTGATAAATTTTTGGAACTAATTAGAATTATTATCTCTAATTGTACAATTGATTAGAATGATAAAGTAAAATATTTTTTGGAAAAATAACATTTTATAAAATAAATATACAGTGAATTCTTCTGAGAAAACATTTAAGTTTTCTGATTATAACTAATCAGTATGATGAAAAAGTGTTTTTAATGTTAAAGAAAATAGAGAAGTGATAAGTGTGTTTCTTAAACAGTCAAAATATTAAACTCTAGCACATAAGAATCCAGTTTTTTTTATATTTTTCGTGTCATGAGTGGAGATAATAGTTTATCTGAAATGTTTGAAAAAATTGATAAGAGTACGTTGACGATTGTGTGTATAGTCACATTATAGTTGGAATCATTATGTTAGAATTAAGATTAGAGAATTGAAACTCAAGTGCTGTAGGTTCAAAGTCTTTTGATTTCTCGTGGATATATATGTATATATATATATATATATATATATGTACTATACTCCTTAAGAGAAAGATCTTGAATGTTGTTCTTGAGGAATCGTTACAGATCGAGAATGCAGCAAGGCATGCCGATGCGAACTTTCACGTAGGTGGGACAGATGCCAGGTGTTCAGAAGGCGTCGTGCTTCGCCAACTAAAAGAGAGATACATATCCATGATTATTGCTCCTACTTGTTCTCTCACCAAGTGCTCTCCAATCGCATTACTTTCAACATTATTGTCAAACTATCATCATCCGTGTACGCTATAAGTTTTATTGACTGATTCCATCAATCTTTAACTCAAAACAAATCATCTTCAATTTTATTTGAGTAAGAGAAAACTTCTTTTTTGCTCTTTTATTTCGTAGAATATTTAATCGGTTATATTCTCAGTAAATGATTTAATTAAATTTTATGACTATATTTTTCGTCATTTAATGTTTTTGGTATTATCAATTTGTTATCAGTTCAGAGAAAATGAATTGTAAAAAAAGTTTTACTACTTTTGTATTACAAAGTGTTAAAACCAGAGATAAATTAACATTTGGAATGAAAAAAGTGCTTTAGATTATTGTAAATTCGCATGAGGTGGTCCAAAAGCAAGAGATTCCCAGAGATAATGAGCTCAGGATATAGCGTGACGTTGAACCGTGGGAGTCACTATGAAAATGACGTGTTTCAGGTTGTAAAAAAAAATGTATTTTGATTAAATTATTCTTTAATATTATTTCTCTTTCTTGCAATTTAATAATTCATTCTTAATTTTTATTTTCAGCTCTCTTTCTGAGGTATTTCCTTAATTAGTAATTTTACAATCATTCCAATTATTATTGTCGTCAACGATAATAATCAAGGCACAAATTCGCGAGAAAAGATCTGTCCTGTTGATCTATCTTTAAATAAAAATGTCAAGTGTATATGAACCAAAAAAAATTAAAGAAATTCGTTTCTATTAATTTACAAAAAATCAAAAATTGCTTATCAATTAAAGTAATTCGTTTCACAGGCAATATTAGATTTTTTTTATATATAAATTATAATTATTATATATAAATTATAATTATTCATTCTTTTATGCAATTTAATTTTAGTCTAATCTTTCCAATAAAATTGTAACACATTTTTTTGACTAAATGTTCATTGTAATCGCGAAACCTAGACTACGAATAATGTTGTCAGTCGTCTGATTGTAATATATAAGTATGTACTTAACATAAGAATATGGTATTAATAGTACATAATTTTTGCGTCTGTCTACTTGTCTATAGTTAATCTATAAGTGTATTGAGATAACAATTTTAATGAAACTTTGTGATACTTCAAGTGTTTAACAAGCAATATATAACTATAAATGACAATGGTGATGATTTGAGTCTTTGCCTTCCACTTGACGAGTTAAGCCTTTGGTCGACGAGCAATAGCCGCAGCTAAAAATAACCGCGATAAACATGAGCAGTTGTAGTGTGTCATGCTATTCATTTGAGAGCTATGACTATATTATTTCTTTTATTTTTCTCTTTTATTAACACATTTTTTTCATTTTTTGGATATTCTTTCTTACTGCCTATCAGGTCAAAGTCTTTAATATTTTTTTGCATTTTTTATTTTAATGTTTAAGAAAAAGAGTTTTGAATAAATTTTATTATCATTTCAGATGATACTAGCTTTTAAAAGAACAAGAAAGTATCACAAAGAAAAGGAGTTTTCTGCTGATAATTATCATTGTAATAGTGCGAAATAAATAGGAAGAACAATCAATTTCAAGTGTCGTCAATTTAGTTTGAATTTAATATGAACTCTGGCTCCTAGAAGTATCATTTTTTCCTTAGATTGTAGATTAAATATTAGAATTAATTATTATTAGAACACTTAAGAATTACTTTAATTCATGTTTGCACTATTTTTTCTTAAATCACAGTACATTTTAGAAGTATTGAAGTAATTTGGCAACCAATAAACAATGGTTTTTAACAAGTTTATTTAGTTTATTATTAATTCTCTGTGAAAAGGTTAAGAAAGATCTTCCTAAAAATTACCATTGACTCTCTGAATGATACATACTGAGTTCAAGGTAGTTCAGCATTAGTATGAATGCATAGTAGAGTATTAAAAGGCTAAGTAAATAAAGTTTTCATACAGTCTCCACCAAGTATAGTTGATCTAACGAGAAACATGTCTAAGTATGAACACTTTTAAGGAGCAAATAAGAAATTATCGATTATTAGGTGGATTAATTTTAAGAGCAATCACTTATAATGATGAAGAAACAGAAGGCTGAACAAGACATTTTGGATTTAAATCGTTGAGACAGGAGAAGGATGAGTTGTTGATATTAATCAACATGATGGAATGGAGATGTTGAAGAAGCGGAAGAATTTGGTTATAGCCACACAATAATAATCAAAGACAAAGTCATTTGGTGAATCTGGCTGCTTCCTCAGGGTATTCCATGACCACCATGAGAGCTTTGGGTTTGGAATTAATCTGCGTCGTCGATGCCGCCTGGTTTTATCCGACCACCATAGAAGATTGGCCACTTGTTATTAATCGCTCTAACTCTCTTTCTCTCTTGCTCCTCCTGTTGTTTTTTCATTTATTTTCCTTTACCGATGGCCGAATCCCGGTGGTCGCGCAAGAGAGAAAGGAGGAAGATTGAAGAAAGAAAAAAATGAGTGGCGAATCCCTGAAGAAATCCCACGGTGTCCGTGAGGATATGCCTTCGACCACCCCGGCTCTCTCTTTCTCTTTCGCATCATCATCTTTTTCTTCTCTACCACTTCTTCCTCTTCCTTTCTCTTGATACTACTCCCTTTACGTCTCGACTCCTCTTCCCGCAGGATACGAGAGGATAACAGCGTCGAACTGGCTCGCTAACTGGCGGTCTTTATCTCGGATATATTTAGCTTCAGCGCGATCGCTCGCAGCGACGACCAGTCGAGAATGATCTCGCGCGAGATCCCACGGTGTCCGGTACGGTCCACCATGGGGGCTACCACCATGCTCGCCTTCTCTTTGCCTCTTTGCCACTGACTCCCTCTCCTTTTTACCTCTCCTTTCTCCTCGAGAAACGACAGATCAAGCTACAGCTCCATAACGGACCCCCAACTACATTTTTCCGTCATTTACAGCTACTATTTAGTGATACTTTCTGCTTTTTTTTCTCTTATTTATTTTTTAGTATACTGATAGAAAGATTCATTTAGTAGTAATACAGTTATAAAATTATTTATTTGACTTAAATTAGTAATTTGTTGATAATTAACAAATCTTGTTTCCCACACTGAGAAATTTTTAATCACCTCAGCTAGAGAGCATCAACTATTCAGCTATTTTTGATGCCTTCTGATAGGTTACTACATGTAATGTGGAGTTCAAATATATTTATTCGATTTATAAAAATGCTATAATTGGAAATAAAAGGTGTAATAAGTTAGGATTAATAAATAAAATGTCACGCCATGTTATCAATATCATCCATAAGTAAGATAAATTTGCACAAATGTTATTCTCTTAGATATAAGAATAAGACTATTTTTTACAAGGTTTTTATTCTTAGTATATCTAATCACTATTTTCCCTCTAACTTACGAATAAACTGAGACTGATAGCGCATAAAGATAATTATTTCCAAACTATTCAAATATTATATATTTTAAAAACTAATTTAATACTCGACTTGGTTGAGAATTATTCAAAATTTGATGTGTGCTAAATTGTTAGCTCTGTATGGTAACTCATGAAATGATTTCAAAAATAAATTTATATATAAAAAAATCTGTACAAAGAAAGGATTGTACAGTTGTTAATAAAAAAATATTAATATTGAACAAGCCTTTCAATCAATTGTGACAATAAATCCAAGTGATTTTATAATTGAAACTAATATTATAAGTTCATTTGGTTTTAGATTCTCTTTTAAAATATATGTTGATTTATTTGTTCCAAAATTAGGAAATTCAATTAAATAAAGAAACAATTTGTTGTTAATTATTATGAATATATTACATGGCTTTCAAAGAGTAACATTCTTCGTAAATCAGAGATATTAATTTGTTAAAAGAAACCGCTAATTCTTATTGAATTTTAAATTACTCAAGATCTAATATACCGTACATTTACAATTGATAAGATTTAGATAATTTCTTTTATTAGTAGATACTTGGAAAAGAATTTCTTTGAGGTGTTAAAGAAATTTTGCTGTAATAAAATAATGTCGTTAAACATGATACCATAAATAAATTACGTAGATTCACAAAGTTATCGTTTGTTAAAATATTAATTACTCAAAAATATTGTTAATAAAAAAATAATAAAAATTGAAAAGAGTATGATTACATGTTATATGAAGTTTTTATATTGAATAAATAATTATTCATTTTTGAAACAAGTTTTTGCGAATAAAATTTATTTTAATTGAAATAATATCTATTTATAGAAATACTAACATTGGCTAATGTCTATTTTTATTCATTTATTCATCTTAAATATTTATGTTTTACAAAATAATGGCCGATGAAAGCATTTGAAAAAATGGTTTTATTCCATAAGCAAAGAATTGAGTTCTTTCAAAACTGTTATTATCAGACAAACATTGCTAAATCTCTGTGTGTAATCAATAAATTATAAAAATTATCACTTACTCTAATTTTGAACATATATATAACACCTCTATATTAAGACTATTTTTTTACATTCGAACAAAAAATGTCATTAATTATTTTAGTAAATTTCATGTTTTTTTAATTAATCAGACCATGTTTTGAAGAATAAAAAATATTTTGTTGAATTTTAATTTTTAATTATTAGACAATTGTTCCATTCATTGACTAAATCATTCTAGTTTACCCAATAATCGAATTAGATACTCATAAGTAATGTTATGTTACTCTACATTTATGTAAATGACTTTTCAACCAAATTTTTTTAACAATTGTTTAAAAAAATATTTATTTACAATTTTTTCATGTTTATATATATTCAAAAAGACATGTTTGATAGCATGCAAGTCTCATCAAAACAAATTCAAAAAAAACTAAGCCAAACTTTTTGTGGATTTACACCTTATTGCTTATATGTTCAATCATCATCTTGCATCAAAGTTATTGAAAGCACAGACAAAATTATAGTAAAAGTAAAGATAATGATAAAGGTGCTACATGTTACTTAAAAAATAATTAATCCAGTCATAAAAAGATAAATGAATTGAAATTAGAAAACTAGAGAAAAGATTAAATTTTCTCATTTTGTAGAATGTAAGATAATATTATTATTATAATCATTGCATGGTTTTAAAGAAAATTGAAATAGATACTCGAGTATGATTTTATCTAAACGCATGTTGACTTAGTCTCAAAAAAATATACATTATGTTCTAAAAATAGAATAAAATAAGATAAAAACTGTTTTCATCAGCTGATAAAATTTTTAAAAGAATTTCACTAGGAAACAAAAGATAAGATTGACAAAAATAGATTTCGACTAAAGGCGTTTAAAGTATAAAGTATATATTAAGTAAAGCTCAGAATAAAGTATATATTTAGAACATGACATTAAGTTTAACGCCACTAGTCCATAGCAACGACAAATTAAGGCGATTAGCTTGGAGCCGAGTCTCGTTAAAGTGACACGCATTCGCGTAACGATCAAACGCTTAAATGTCTAACTATCATTTCTGTTTTGTTCTCAATGAAAAATTCAAAATGTTTTTCACAGACTGATCGCTCTGTAGATTCAAAAGTTATGCGATTACTACATATATAAATTGAATAACAGTATCAACTTTTTTTTTACTGTAGTTTATATTTAGAGATGTTATGTAAGAACTTATCACATCTGCACGTGTTTTATTTAATCAAATTTAATGCATGACTTTTTTTCATTCCCTAGAATTATCCAATAAACTTGAATTGTACCTTCAAAATATTAAATTATCTAAGACATTGAAAAGGAATATTGTCTAGAAATATTTTATCTCTACACCAAATTTTTGATATTCAGTAAAATATCATCTGTGTGGAATTTTATTCTGTATTTATTTTATTCTGTTGTGATTAAACGTTTCCAATGAAAGAAATGATGGTTGTCAATCCTAGTAGATTAGAACATATATGATAGTTAAGAATGGTAAGCTAAAAATAGAAGATCAAATACGGATTTAATACTCATTAATTAATTGAGAGACATTTTGTTTTGGTTGAACTTAACTGTAAGAAATATCTGAGATTAACAATTAAGTTATAAAGTTGATTGGAATTGGCTTTCTCTATTTCAAATGTGATAAATGAATGGTCCTGGTACCAGCTCGACTTAATAATATAATTATCAACTTTTTTTTAAAAGAAAACCCTCATTTTCAATGACTATTAAATCTATTTTTTTCATATAATGAAAATTTATTACCAAGAAAAAAATTAAAGAAAAAAGAAAATGTAATTCCAACTAAATTAAAACTTCATTTATCAATCAACACTAATAGGTTTTTAATAGTAGATAGTTTTTCTTGAGATTGTTAATTTTCTTATTAATAATAAAAAAAGAAAAATTGTTATTATTAAATAATTTCTCTTTGTACTTGAATAGATAAAATATAGTCATAGCAATTTCTAAAATAATTAAGTAATTATTTTCTATTTAAAAAAAAAAGAATTTTGTTTTGTTTAAATATTTTTAAATAAATTAACTTATTTACAATAGAATAATATTTATATATCCAATAATTTTATTACCAATAAATTTTTTCGCCAACATTTTCATTAAAT